TGGAAAATTTAAGGAGTTATTATTATGTACGTTTAGATGATACAACCGGTAGGATACTTTTGCACGTTACTGTACATGCAGCACAAGCTATAGTTATAAATAGATAAATTTTGTACGTGGTGTAATATTGTCGCAAGTTCAGGTTTTTCCTTAATCTTGTCTTAAACATATATTGGATTTGGTTAATAAATACTTAAGGGTTAAATTTTCTGATGCTGTGCTAGACAATAAGACTAAAGTGTGCTTGAGTATAGGTAAAAATTTAAAATTAGACACGTTAGTCTTTTTAACTTGCTTTTTATTGTATTAATTGTCACTCTTTCTATATTTAAAATTTTATTCTTTTCAGATTTGCAGTTAAGCTGGACTGAAACATTAGCCTGGAATATTATTTTATTGAAATCTCAAATCTTCCACAACATACAATCTTTTTTTTTTCTACAAAGCTGAATATGGACACGGACAAGCTCTTAACAAAACCTAGATTTTCCATACAGCTCAACTCTCGGTGTCAAAAATTGCCACTGTAGTAATACATAGTTAGTAAGCATAATATATCAAGTATTTAACAAAAGTGTAGTCTCGTACAATATGTTAAAACACTGATTTCTTAAAAGAATTCCAACGGAGCAGCAGAAATTCCTACAACTAACCAATCACCATGTTTTATGAATATGGAGCTTAAACAATTGTACAAAGATCTCGACAAATGTCAATTGTATATACAGATAATATAACGTCGTGTTAGTACTGTAGTAATGGTCATTGTACGGCACCCGAGAATTCTCACTGACAAATTAAATTTCTTTCTCTGTTAGTGCCTGTGATAAGTCTACCAGCTCACTTGCGCTGACGATGGGATTAATTCTGTAGTGTCTTTAATCCCTGGCTTGTCGGTATATTAATATGCATGCTTGGTGTTAATAAAACGAAAACATCGGTTTAATAGATTCGTATTGACTACCGAACATAACTGATAAGAATTACATCGACATAGTTATACAAGTAGATGTTCTACCAACCATCTATTTATTATTCTAGCGTTTCATGAGCTAAATGGAATCATACCCATTAAATAGATTATGATTATCACATTGGACAGAACAAACCATACTGTATGTCGTTGTATCGCTGTGTTGAGAAATTATCGCGTCTGTTTGATATGACTGCTGCGGAGTAAAACAGTTCGTAACTGTCCATTTGTTTCTTCTTTTTCAAGTGGATGGCGTATCTGTAATCACGTTCGCTGCTTTCAAAAAATTTTTAAAAAAAAATCGGGTTTGTGGCCCTACTCAGAAGTAGCGCGATGGATGGCATTTTTTGGGCAATCTGATTTTTTTAAATTGTGTGTTACTGTATGTAGAAATTTTTGAGTTTGTACACGAAAAGTTCTCGATACAATTCAATGATGAATCATAGATGTTACTTTCCTTTGCGTACAGCTTCTATTTCGTTTACAAGATTACGACTGACCGGCATATCTGATAAAAATCGTTGGTTTGCAACAAGTGCACGCGGAGATAACTCGGTCATTACTCTGTTAAAACGTCTGCGCGAGGAGACCCAAGTGTCTATCACAAAAGCAAAAGAAGCTTTACAACTTAATGATAACAATTACGATAAAGCGCTAGAATGGTTGTTAGAAGATGCTAAACGTAGTGGCGCAACAAGGGCAGAGAAGGTGAAAGGACGCATCGCAAAAGAAGGATTGATTGGAATTGCATTAAGAGAAGGAGGAGGGGCCATAGTTGAGGTACTACATATATGTGATCTCAATCTCGTACAAAGTAACGCATTTCATAGCGAAAAACCATTGGCTTGTAGGTAAACAGTGAGACTGATTTTGTCTCGAGAAACACAATATTTCAGGATTTAGTTACTCGCATCGCAACAACGGCTCTATTTCTTTCATCCGACTTGTCACCTCGAGCTGCACGCCCGCGCATTACCGATATTCCTCTCTCTTTCCTCGAATCGAGCCCACTTCTTCCTCACCCATCAACGACAACGGCTGCTTCAGCGCCATCAATAACAGTAGCAGAATCTATAGTCGATACTATTGGTAATTTAAAAGAAAATATTAATTTGAGAAGAGCAGCCGTGGTCGACGGTGAAGGAGCTATTGTAGGTGGATACGTTCATGGAGGAGGAGAGTCATGGACAGGAAGGTATGGCGGCCTGGTTGTTTTCGGTGCAGATGGCGGTGGTCTTGAATCTAAAGCGGGTGAAGATATCAAAAAGCTTGCTCGTGGTTTAGCAAGACAAGTTGTAGGTTTAAATCCGGAATACATTGACGAAGCGAGTGTTAAGCACATTCCAGATGACGTGGACAAACATGAATATCTTGCAGAGGCTGTATTATTAAATCAGGGTTACTTACTAGGTGGAGGCTCTGTCAGCCAAATCTTGCAAAAGGCAGGGGAGGGCTTGGGTGGTGTGAAATTCAGTATCTTTGATTTTGTTAGGTGGGAATGTGGTGAGGGAATAGAAAAACCATTGGAAGATTTTGCAACAGAGGTTATGAAACAGGCAAATCTCCCTCCAAGTCACTAATAGCTGATTTTATTAAATATACCTTTATATCAATAAAATAGAATAAATACAAAAAAAAAAGTATTCCTACTTTTTTTAAGTGATGTGTCCGGTAATACTATTATATAACCCCGTACTCTTACTTTCTAGGTATTACTAGAGCTTTAGTCAAAACTCTCTTGTTGTCGTGATGTCCAACCATAGGGAAACTACAAATTTCCACCTCCAACTCTTCTATATGTTCTTCATCCCACGGGCCTGACATTGTGCTGACCGCAATTTTTTCTCCTGCTTCAAAGAAATTTCTGAACTGTGGAATTGGTTCTTGAGTATAGAGTCTAAAGTACATGTGAACAGCTTTATATACAAGTGCTGTCGCATCATTACGTAGTTCAGCCTGTTTTTGAGCATCATCAGGAATGGTGCGATAATGTGATAAAGTCTCGACAACTTGATCCGTAAGTGAGACGACGAATGGGTGGTCAGGCTTGACAAATGCTCTGCAACCAAGAACAGCATATATCTGTTGTCGTAATTTGGTTGGGGCTATCGCAGTTTGGTGATCTTCGCCATTTCTAGTTGATGAGAACTCTTGCACTAGTCGAATCAAGTGTCGGGTCGTTGTTAAAAGATTCGTCTCCAGAGCGTTGTTGTCTGTCGGCAGTGTAATTGCCATGTGATCATCTTTCGACCTTTCATCTGTCGATTCATCTTTCGACCCTTCATCTGTCGATTCACCTTCTGCCGGGCCCCATCCATCTTTGTCGCCAAGACCATATTCTTCTATACTATTAAATATAATCTCTAGAACCAATCGTTGAAAAGCGGCTCCAACAACGAGCTTGGGTCTTTTATCTGACATTCTAGTTCTACATTTGTATTTCTCTAATAATTCATCGCAGGCAGCTTCGTTGAGTTTCACACCGGATCCTTTTGCTTTTGCAAAATCATTAAGAGTGTGTTGGAGGTCGCTGATCGCCTGAGTGAGTTGAACGGAGTTATTTGAATCTTCGTCACTCCATCTAACATTTGTAGCTATTCCCAGTGCAGATTGGTATGACGAAGCTTCCTCTTTAAGTCTTTTAATCTCTTTATTCAGGTCACGGACTTCGAGATCTAAGATAAATGGTGTATCAATTAATATTCGTGGCGATTGTAGTTGATATAGTTAATATGGAGTTGGAGCGCTGCTTCTATCGTAAATTCACTGACTATTCAATTTCATATAATCATCTATTTGCTTACCTGATTCATTAATTCTATTATGTAATCTCTGCCTCTCCTTCTCAAATTGTTGCTTCAATCGGTCTACATCCTCGTTACTAATGTCGAATCTGTTCTTGTCCAAATCGCTTAGCACCCTTTGATGCTTATCCTTCAATTTAGCAATCTTCTCTTTATCCTTTGCTCGTTTTTCTTTCAATGTTTTTACTTTCTTGCTTAAAATTGCGTTTTGTTCTCCGACTGAATATCTAAGGAGATCAACATCATCTGTTGAGTCTGCATCGCTGTCATTTTGCTTTCTCTGTGACGTTGGTTCTTTATCAACGGGCGGAGGTAGCGCAATTGGCGTGACGGAGTTTCGATGATAAATATTTGTGTATTCTAAGATTTAAAAAAAGAATAGATTAGTTAGTAACGGGTTCCTGCTTCAGTGCTCCATAAAGACCATAACTACTGGCACTCACTCTAGGGAGAAATCATTTAGGCATACCTGGACGAACATCCTGCTTTGCTGATTGACCGAAAGTTGATAATTATTGTAGTTATAATTGTACGTATCACCGCTTCCATAAATCACCGATTTATGAATATTTCAGCAACACTTTCTCTTACCGGTCAATTGGACGCTAAAATGCTTGTTCGTTTGATCAGGTTGTGACATTGGTGAATAAAAATGTTGCATATGAGGCTGTAAGTGAGAAGGTTGTAAGTGAGGTTGTAAATGAGGTTGTACGTGAGGTTGCATGTGAGGTTGAATGTGAGGTTGTATGAGAGGTTGCATTTGATGTTGTCTAGCTTGGCCGTCAATTGATGCGGCTCTCAATCCGTTATCGTCTGCTAATTGTCTTGCGTCACTCATATCCTGATCTTGTATGAGAGGCTGGTAATTGTTTGTAAGAAGGACAGCCTTGGTTATGACATCAATATTCTGTTTTCTCCATTAGCAAAATTTAAACTTACAGATAGTGGTCTGGTATTATCAGAGGGAGCCGAGTTCCATGAGGCATTATCCATGACTGCGTATTGTTCCGATTCAAGTGAGGATGAAATGGGTATTTTCCAAAATTAGTGATTAATATACGATCACTGTCAATCGATTGAAGGAAGGTCTCACAGATTGTTAACAACACTAACCAATGGGTGACATTCTCTGGGTAAGATGTGTTACATACCTCGATAAAACTTTTATCCAGCAGCGAGAAAGCAATACGATCGTTGATCATAGTGGTGATGTGCGAGTCACGATTGAGCGATACTCCTTCGCATTATGTAACTAATAGTAATAAGGCATTATTACTCTATCAATCTTATCTAACTAAATTAGTTTACGGATCTTTGTGTTTCGTGATCACTCGGTAAACGTCGCCCCAAATGGTAATCATTTTATAAAGAATCAATAACGTGACTAGACTTTATAATACCTCGCAGCCAATAGTATTGGCACGTTGTAGCATGCGAGGCAGATGTTATACAAAAACGAATGCACGAAGATAGTGTACATGTAAGAAGAAGAACTTGAAAAAATAGGTTTGTTTTATTATTCACAGACACGAATGCATTCGATGCTTTAAGTAAAATATTATGTATCGAATGTCTTACCTGGCAGTTCATACACAAATAGTTTATTCAATAGATATGCCGATGTACCAAGCGGTGTAACGGGAATGTCGTTTTACTGTGCTAGTGGAACGATAGAAATGCATATAAGCAACTGCAGATATCATCTTCTTCAGCATATATGCAACTCTCAAGTCTTTCGTTCCTCTTTCGATCAATAAATTATATTTACTGGAATAAGCAATTAATTCGTATTCCTTGGCTATCGCCTTGGTAGCGACGTGCAAATCGTAGAATCTGCGAAAATCGACAAAATTAAAGGCAGACACTGCAAATCCGCGTATACAAAAGCCATAAGTATATAAAACTAGTTCAATTAAGGTCATTTATAGGTTTAGTGGAGTAGGGATTAATATTTGCCAGCTTTATTTAAAGAACTAAATTTCAAGGATAATTACCAATTGCTCTCCCATAGTCATTGACTCGGCACACAGAAGTAATTTTTAAACGCCGTTGAATCTCAAATTCAACAAAAGGTAATACTATGTACAGTCAACCCTCTTTATAGTCACACCCTCTATAAGCACACCATGTTTGAGAACCAATTACTATTGAATTAACCCTCTATATAGTCACAACCTCTTCTTTACAGAAACCTGTAGTTTTTGTAAATCTCTCTGTGACATCAGAATAAGAACTCTCTAACAGACATCACGTAATGAGATCGCCATGAGGATTCTAATTTTAGTGTATCATGAAGATGTGCCCATGAGATTTCGGGGATGCATGGAAATTTTACAAAGTTGAACAATCTTAATCTAGCAGAATCTTGTGACAAGATCACCAGGATACTAATACTAATAGAAATTTAGCAATATTTTCTGATTGTAAATGTCACATGGCTATCAGCACAATGTCCTGCAAATCTCATCGAGACATTTTTAAAAAATGCAAGTTTCTGTAAAGCTTTATAAGCACATTTTCAACAAAAGTTGCATTGTTCCCGACAGCGTGACTATGGGTTAACTGTATCTACTAATTCTGGTAATTGATTAACAATTCTTTGTTGTCTGATTTCAAATTAAAGCCTTTAAAGTTGTAGACTCACACAATAATAAATAAGTTAAATATGCTTATGATCTCACTATCAAAAGCCCATTCTGTCTCTCTTCCTATTCAAACACATATAGAAAAGGCATTTCACAAAAGTTAACCAACAAATTCAGCTACCAGCGGGCATCAGTATCAGCTCGCGAGAGTAATTGCAGGTGAATACTCTCCCTTTGCAACGACTTGCAAGAACGCCATAAATTAGAATGCGTTGTAGAAAACTACCAGGCTGATATTAATGTAACGTTCACCATTTCCTATATTATGCTACTTATCTCTAATTAAGGCAGTCCAATTTAAAAAAGACTTGTGCGATTTCGGATAGCACCATACAACATTACAATTTCCTGTTTACTTCCGTTTGAGATAGCCGTATTCGGGTTTAAACTTTATACTAAAACCGATCATGCAAAACTTTCATGCTTGATAATACAGTTAAGTCGTACAACGAACACATGATCAATATCAATTATCGTAGCACAATACAGATAAATATTGCAGAAACCTTATCAATTTGCCTTAATTTGCCACATGTCATATATCTCTATAGAATACGAAGATAGCTATGTTGATAACTGAACGTTTCCACCTGTGAAAATAGAGTGTCAACAATTGCTACAGCTTGACATTTTGATGGCTAATTGTTGCTTGCTGTATAGTAACTATGGTATACCATTGAAGGGTTTATACTAACACACAAATATAAAGACCAACTCGAGTGAAAGATGCGAGTTGTGCTGCATAACCATGCATACTGTCGTACATCGTATCGTATCGGGGGCTCGTATCATATCGTATCGTATCATGCATATCGGTAGGTTTCGTTCAACAACCTTTTTTGTCATTCATTGTGTTATGCATTTTACATCTTACTATTATCGTTATCAGTTGTTTACTGTTTGTTGATTATCTGCGCACTGCATGTTAATGTGTAGATCATTATTATTTGATCGACATAATAAAAATGTGCGCCCGCAAAAATGATGTTAAATACTGGGATCAAGCACATGTCAAAGTCAAAAAGCACTCGACAGAATATGCGGGAAACATCACCAAACAGAATAATATTGAACGTAGGCGGTAAGAAGGTAAATATTGATTAGTGCAAGCTTATCTCCTGTTAACGCTACAAGTCGATCGCTATCATTAGTCAGCAGTCATAACCATATCCATTTCGAATTTTTACACCTTAATCGCTTTTCTGTTTTCTCCTCTTCGTTAATTCTTCATAACAATACCACTCCCCACTCTGCACTCAGTTTGAAACATACAGATCAACATTGACCGCACATCCTACAACGCTTCTAGGGATACAGTTTAGGGATACTCCAACGTTCGAACAAGTAGACAGTAATGAATATTTCATCGACCGCAATTCTCGTGCGTTTCATTATATCATTGAATATTATCGCACTGGAAAGATGTTCTGGCGCACTGGTTGCTGTGGAGTAACAAAAGAAGAGATGATCGAAGAGTTGTCTTACTTCCAGCTATCCATTGACATTTTAGATAATGAGAGCAAGATAAATCCTAAATCCACAAATTCACCTATAAAACACATGTCCAACCGTTTACCATCCCGTTCACCTTCAAACTCGCCTGCAAATTTATCAAATGATCCATTTACTCCACCTCACACACCGAAGCATGGCAAAATACAATTGGTAGGAGCAGGGCCAGGTGATCCTGAACTTCTGACTAGATCAGCATATCGGGCAATTAAAGAAGCGGACATTATCCTATCTGACAGATTGGTACCTGCTGAAGTGTTGGAACTGATTCCTGCCCACATCGAAGTGATGATTGCCAATAAAACTTGTGGAAACGCTGAACCGGCACAGGAGGAATTGTATAAGCTATCTATGCAGGCTTTGGAGGAAGGGAAGAACGTTGTTAGGCTTAAGCAAGGCGGTAAGTAATGGAGGCAAATGGGTGAGATCGGCGTATTAAATGGAGGAACGTGTGTATGTTACAGCTGTCTGTTGCAGCTTTTTGTTACTCACTTTATCCACCATCTTTCGAATTCGTGTCTACTTTATCTTAGATCCATACCTCTTTGGAAGAGGCGGAGAAGAATATAGATTTTTCCAGTCTAAAGGCTATGATCCAATTGTAATTCCGGGAGTATCGTCCTGCATGGCTGCTCCGCTATTAGCTAAAATTCCGGCTACATTCCGTGGCATTTCCTCCCAATTCCTTGTCTGTACTGGTACTGGTCGTCGTAACACCCTTCCCGACATTCCCAAATTTCATCCTAATCGTACTTCTGTGTTTTTGATGGCTATTCATCGAATGCGTCAGTTGAGTCAGGATCTCATCGATATCGGGGAATATCCTCCGGATACACCGTGTGCTATGGTAGAAAGAGCGAGTTGTAAGGATCAGAGAGTGATTAAGGGAACTGTTGGGAACATTGCCGAAGTAATGGAAAGAGTGGGATGTGCTCCGCCTGGGACCCTCGTTGTTGGAAAAGTGTGTGATGTATTGTACGAAGATGGGAGAAAATATGATGGAGTTGTGTTTGCTGAGGATGTATTGAAAGCAGAGTGAGAATGATGAGTTGAAGTATTTTAATGCGCAATGTTTCAATATAATGTTTAGGGTGGTAAGATGTAGAATAGAATAGAAGCGTGTTAATATTTGTAATTAGTATTTAAAAAAAAGCATAAAGCATTGTTTGTCAATGACGTCATCAATAAATATGTTTCGTTAATTGAACCCCTAATTCCCAGCATTTTCGCTCTTGCTTTTCTGTTAACTTATTATGCTCAAGCGTAAATCAAAATCTGTTAGTCTTCGACTTACCTACTATATACATTGATACATCCACGCCCTCAGAATCACTTAATGCACAAACGCACTCAATGGGTGATAACTACACACTCGCCGATATATTTGGAAATTCCGAAGAATGGAGGTCTCTACTAGTCAAAGATATTCAAGCAATATATAGCCAGACAGCATGTATATGCTATAACCAGCCAGATACAAGCAAATTGGTGAAAGATGTTAAAAGGATGTATGATGAAAAAGAGGGCTGTGATGTTAACATAATTGTCGGAAAAGACCCAAATACCAAGGCCTTTCTCGCTCATTCGTTCATACTCAAAGGTCGCTCCGAGTATTTTCGTACTGCACTCTCGGCCATTTGGGTCAAAAAAGACAATGGGATGATAGTGTTTAGCAAGCCTAATATTAGTTCTCAAATATTTGAGTTAATTCTCAGGTATGCTAACAAACGCCAGTTAATTTACTGTACTGTTTTCGTCACTGCTCTTTGTTTTCTGTGTTCATAATTTTTTTTAACACCCACATTGCAGATACCTTTACACTGCTGAAATATTTAAATCAAGCCTAGACCTGCCTGTGGCGTTCGATCTTATGACAGCAGCCGATGAACTCGGACTTACTCTACTAGTTGACACTCTCCAGAAAAGGGTACTTGACAAAGCTACACTATGGTATAAACGATATTTTTTCACTGTACTCCAGGCAAGCTCGTCCAGTCCGCATCTTGCGTCACTGTATCAATATTGTTCAAGTAAACTCTTAGCTTGTAGAAATGTATTAATAAAGTCAGATGACATTGATGCATTAACTGCCGATACAATGTTGGACATTCTGCAAAAAGACGGCTTGGACGTTGATGAGCTTAATCTATGGGAAGCAGTTATGACATGGGCTCATAAAAAGAATCCTAATATATCAACAGAGCCTAGCGATTGGTCAGACGAGGATGTCGATTGTATGAAGAATCTACTCCACGACATCATTAGTCACATTCATTTTGTAGATTTGACAATGACGGAATATAATGGGATTGTTGAGAAATATAAAAAAATCTTCCCTCAAGGCATGGTTGATGCGTTGAAAGAATATCATGAATCCCCGTCTAAAACAATCCACCAAGATTCACTTCATCCATATGCACACTGTCTATCTCCAAGGCGTTATGTACGTTCATTGATACTTACCAGAAGACAAGGTCATTGTTTATTGACCGGTATCAGAGAATTTCGTCAAGATTCCCGACCCAACTACGTTCCCTGCCTTCTGATATTGCAAGAAAGGGGAAGCAATTTTGGGTTCACTACTCATGATATCCAGGCCATTATAAATAGGTCAGGTCAAAAAGTACTTGTAATGAAGGTGAAGGACAGCGATGAGATAATTGGCTGTTATACATCAGAACGTAACAAACTTGCTCAAGACAAACCTATTTATCCCAACCATCCCAATTGTGTGTTCTTTTTTTCATTCAAGGGGAATACACCAGATTCGTTTATATGTAGCCCATGTTCTAATAGTGAAGAAGAGCCTATTGATATGAGTAATAAGGTAATGACATTCGGACAGGGACCTGATTTGAGGTTAGGAATAGATAACAAGAATCCCGATGAAAGTGAGGGATGTGAGTACAGGATGGTCTCGCATTCGAAAGCAATTAGGGAATTAGGGAAGTTTAGTATTGAAGATTACGAAGTGTTCACGGTCATACGGCGACCACCGGTTAACGCGAAGGTTATCGCACTTTACAAAATTGTGGACACGGCCAATCAGAATGCATATAATAAAAAATAGTATCTATCATGTTCTGCAAATATTTCTCGAACCCAGGAAATATAGTACATATGTACAGCTTTATGTTATGCTTGTTTATTATGTGAGACAGATAATAAATTTGAGAGTAATTGTAAAAGAGAGAAAGTTACGAATAACACCCTTCGCGCTCTCATCAAGGAATATGAGTTGCTCGGGTGAATATGATTCTCCAATTTAGTGATAAAAGAACTACGAAGCAATTCATTACTTTCCATAGCGGCTACAAGAAAGTTTTATTAGTGAGATTTTCTATTTCTTACTTAGTTGTAACATACAAACCTTTTTTCGAGTGATGCCATATCGTTACGATCAAGAATCTTTCTACGTCCACGCATCCCCTTGAAGGGATTCCCCAACATTTAAACTGTGGCCTGACTAACATACAATTAACGGCAAATCCGTTTACGAGAAAAGCCATCAGAATGAAGATAAACTATCCTTCAACGTAAATCTTCACTAATATCCTTGACCATGTTGTACCCAATAAAATTGCCAATATTGCTATACAACAGCTAAATGACAGCGTTCGCCTGTAAACGTCCAGCAACGCCCAACAATTGTCAGTGATCGCCAGTAATCTCCAACAATTGTCAGTAATCGCCAGTAATCGAAAATCTCTTCTCTATAAAAGCTAGCACTAGAACTGCTCGTACTTACCAAAAGAGTAACCGAAACTGTACAGGAAGCTGTAAATTGTTGAGTGCCGGCGAATGAGTTTTCGAAAATTTTCGCAGTCAAGTGACTGTGTGTACAAAATTTCAGAATTTTGAAAAGTGCGATAAAACATTCGATGAGGGTTAACTGTTGACGAGAAAAAGTTTAATAAAATAACGCTCCCACCTGGATTCGAACCAGGAACCTTTTGGTTAACAGCCAAACGCGCTAACCAGTTGCGCCATGGAAGCCCGTCTAGTGCATAGTGGCTCTAATTTATATTAACTAGTATTCAATATTAAACAATACTTGCTGTATTTACAAGTTGTGCAGCAAAACTTTTACTTACGCATCCGGTGTAAAATATGTGCCTTTGCGGTTACCCACCAACTCACAAACCCTAACAATATATACTGCATCTCGGATAGCTTTTTTGAGTTCGAAGAGTGTTCATCAGGTGAAAGATGAAAAATCATTGTAGAAAATAGGAACGCTCTTAGTAGAATAGATAAAAAAATTTTACACTGCGAATAATTGACATTTTCCTAGTCGATGAGAGCGAAGAATTGAACCACCTTGCTAGTAATACCATTAACGTCGAAGAAGGACCCAGAGGCAGGTATTTTACTGAAGAAAGATGCGAGCTAATATATGGTATTGAGAGATTGATTATTGGTACTGTTGCTGTTAGTATTACTCTACCACTGAATATAGTATTTCCCCTCAATTAGACCGGGTACAAATCTGTTTTCGTAGTAGCGATACACAAAAAAATTATTATTAATTTTATCATCGGATTAACAATGACAATTTCGATTATTCATTGACCAACTAACTCGATTAAGCATTATAGAACATTTTATAGCCAAGCTTTATGATTGGCCTACCAACGGGAATTATATCGTATCAGTTGTCAATAAATAGTACACGAAGTACCCCGGTTTGCTACAAATAATATACTTATTATCAATCCAAAACATTTTTGTGATAGTTGACATTAAAAGGTTCGATACTGTGATTCGGAGGGCCGACGCGTAGCGATGCCAAGTTAGTTAACGCATGTTCTCATCCCAAAGATAAATTTTATGTGTTTACAGCCAGAGACAATACTAAGGGAAGAAATTCGAAAAGCCTCCAGAAGAACAAGGATTTTCAGATCTCAACAATCAAAAAAGTTTTATCTAGTGTACATTCAAACCCCAAGCTTATCCCACATATCAGGTATATGATGGTAGCAATTTGAAGTTCAGAACAGAGCGTAATCATTTGCGACTAGTTGTCTCCAACGATAACAAGTATTATCATTATTGTAAAATTTTTTATATTGTAATAAATAAGCTTGTATACGCTGAAAAGCACAATTTTTTAACTCGTAAATAAAAAACGCAAGTGTATGCGGCGCTTGGTCCAATGCAGTCGTTATTCGAATAAGCAAGGTGCGTATAGATTTCAAAATATGTTATATAGCCATTGTGATGTGCGTTGTGAATAAAGAATACTAAACAGCGTGTTATCATACTGTACGTGATCATTGTTCTAAGTCACATACATTAACCATTGCATAACACAATAAATAGCAAGCTATTTGTGACTTGAGTAGTGTTTGGCAAAGAGATACAGTATATTTCGTGATTTAATAATATTATGTACGTGTGATAATAAAGCCAGCACAATATAATAGAATACGCTCGCTTAACAATAATTTTTGCCTTAATAATATTTTATGACATGTGTCATATCTAAATAGTGGTATTGCCTATAGTCAATCATTTTTCCAGTTGGAAATGTTTCAATTTTCGAGTTACGTTCCATACATAGTATCTAACTTCTCTTCTGAATATAATAAAGAAGTATGGGTGACTTAAATAGAGTTACAGTTAGAACAATTGAATACACTTTGCATAATAATAAGTCAATGAACAAATAAGCCATGCTTACATTATTGCTGATGTTAGCAATTCTATAACAGCTCATCTTCAGACAAAACCACGCATGGTAAAATGTATTCAATATCCGTATTGTATGTATTTCTTCAGTTGATGTTTTTATTGTCTAAAAATCAAGTGTTTATTATTATATTCATTATACAATTAAGACTGTAATATGTAATAAACAATACTTATACATACTACAATTGTTGTTGTTGACTTCTCCCAATTTTTCAACAAAATGCAGAGTTTGTATTTATTTGGAGGTACTTGGAATATGGGTATTGTAAACTAATCCATATTTGTTTATTCTTACAACATTGCACAGTTGTATTGATAACTGTACACTCAGATCCATAGAAGAAATTTTACACATGTAGAGAAACGTTGCCACTCGATGTTTCCCAACAAAAGACAAGTATCTCGCATTTCCAACCAGCACAATCTTTGGTATCATCCTGAACACAATGCGAATTTACAAAATCATGAATAAGTCTATTGCTATTATTATAACGTGACTAAGCAATAGAATTCTTAAAATTATGTGACTTACACGGAAAGATTTACCACGTGTCTTGCATACAGTCATACCTCAGTTATATCCCCTTCAGTTATACCCTGCAACGCGCATGAATTTCCCCTATTCCAATTCCATATAAATATACCTCAGTTGTATCCCACTCAGATATAACCTCATATCCCGTTACATATTACACAAAAATCATGCCATTTCTATATATATATTTGTGCGAGATAAGTCGATCATTTGCTTCATTTGGTTAGGCGACAACGCAATAAAATCAGGCCATAAAATCAGGCGATAAAATTAGAATATAAATTATGCTAGAATAAAATGTACAGAATATATAATTAAGCGCTTAGATGAAGCAGTAGAATCAGACGTCACTAATGGAATTTATTAACCAATAAATTAAACACAATGACAATATTATCTATTGAAATGCTATACCTCAGTTGTATCCCACCTCAGATATATCCCCCAAAAATCCTGGGTCCCATACATAATCGTAAATTCGAGCCAATAGGACTTTTGTTTAGAGAAAAATAAATTTAATATCAAGCCAATCAAAAACGAATGGGTATCTTGAGGCCCAGCGTAGCGAAACAGAGTCGAAGAATTTGGAAAACCCACTACACCAGTTGGCCTGTTAAGATGATTGGATTATTGCTCTGCCAAAAATATTTTATTGCGACATAACAACTGGCTCAAGAAAAGAGAGCCAGCGAACACAGTAAACCAACTACGTTTTAAAACGAATGGATATCTTGAACGGGCCAACCCACCTTGTTGCTTTGGTGGTCGGTGAGTCAAGTCTGAGATTTAGAAAACTGCGGGGGAAGACGAGTGGACAGTCTTGATCGTATTGTACAGTAGTAACAATATGTGATCCATAGATACATACCAGTATGTATATCGAAAATCCTTATCTGAGGCTGGAGCCCTAAAATGGGTAAGCGTAAATAAAACTGAAAATAGTAGCGACTTTCTTTTACTTAATACCGAATAGAGTTTACTTATAGGGACAATGTATACCATTATTGTTTAGCCACTTATGTCTGATGATGCTGTACAAGCCTGGCTTATCGATTTTCTATTTAATGTCAGAGATGAAGTTGTCGTTCATTCGATATCTGATACCAGAAGACCGACCTTAATTAGTTTTACAAGGGACCCTAATAATGGACATCAAAACCGTATACGATATTGATCTGAAGGGTGTCATAACTTCGGTATGTAGTATTCGTGTGTTTGGCGAGCGAGCGAAAACCATAAGTTTCGTATACGTGGCGTGTAACAAAAGGGGGTAAATGCTAGAATGTGTGCCTCAGAACTTGTATGTTTTATCCATCATCATTTATTCTTGGCACATAAGCGTATACTTAGTTTATTTCGTAAAATTTTCATCAGGTATCCACTCGCAATATAAAGGGCGTACTTAGAAAACGTCGTCTGCTATTATTCTCAGTACGTACATTGAGTTTAGTTCCTGCATCGTATGCTTGCGTATCATTTGCCGAACGTGTATCGGCGGTTGACGATGAGTATGAGAGTTCTGGAGTGGTAGTTATATGGCTTGAATATACGATTGCTTGCATGTGGGTGAGTGTGAATGTGAGAGTGATTGCGGTTCTGGTTAGGAAAGCTGAGTGTGTGTATTTGTACGAAGGTTAACACATATTAACTATGTCATACGTTCGCCTCGGGTTTCAATACTTTCAATTCTAGTGCTTTCTAGCCAGTCTCTGGAGCTACTGGCTAAACGACTCACTAACTCGTCGTTGGCTGTCCTACGAAGCAGGCGGTGCAATAAGACGCTTAGTCGTCTTCCAAGTCCTAAACTTGATTGCAACTATCTATGTAGCTTCTCGCTTTGGTTTCGATCAACCAATCTGGACATGGGTAGCGATCAGCTGCATCCTTGCTCTTTTCAACGCCTGTCAATGGTTATTCGCATCTACGCCCAAGTATCAAACACTTGTGGAAATTGAGGACCGTCGCCCTGCTACTGCCTGGAAAGATGTTAACAATTATATACTAGCACCGTTGGCTATTGCTACAGTCGTAACTACGCTTGCTGATCTTATAAAAGAAGTAATATTGAGACAGTGATTCTAATGTTGTTGAGGCAGCGTTGAGATATCCCCACCGTCCAGCCCCCAACAAGCGTGTCAGAAGCAGAGTCATACAGTAAGTCATACCCGCTCTCCCTCGAAGGACCTAGAACGTATACATGTGGTTTTTTTCAAACGGACTATTATGGCTATGCTGGATCTCACAATGGTCGATTCAATGGATTAGATGCAAGGTGTATTAAGAATATCAGCCATATCTGTGAATGTCCATGAAGGAAAATGACATTAGGCTCTATCGGCGGAGTATGATGCAGCAAATCCTCGGTTCGTTGGTCATCATCATTTATCAATTGAGACTATATACTTGTTGCTGCATGCATCGTTGCTGAAAGAACGGGTATGCGGTAGTAACCGAACGTCCATTGAGATTGGAGTGATAGCATCTGTAGAAAAGGAACATTAAATAGAGACTTTTGGGGATGATATGTGTAATTATAGAATCAAGATTTGTTCGCCTACACTGTAGAATCTCGTTATAGAAAATTTTCTTGGTCTACTTACTAATCAACTGAAAATAAACTTCAATTCTCATTATTATTATCCATCTCATCTTTTAATTGAAGCCCCAATTAATTGATCAGTTATTTTTAGTAAACGGCCGGCATTAAACTGTAACCAACCAGAGTGTGGCACAATAGATCCCTTCGTCCTCGAGCCAGGGTAAATCTGGCCAATGTGCAGGAAAACCAGTTTACTCAAGCAGTGTAACCAATATAATTATAAGCATTTCCACTTTCGGGCTTTACAGATAATAACGGTGAACAGATTCAGAAGAATTGAGTGTTCATATGTGCCATTGTTTTTTTTTTTTATTGAATTAAATTTTATCTGATTATAATCATGATAGCAATACGTTTCAACATATATTTATTAAAATATACAACAAAAAATTCCAAGTCTACCCACTATTATGAAAAAAAAAAGACCACTATCTCATTGTCCAATCCCATTGATATACAATTACATAGCAAGAAGGACGACGAAAAACGAGACAAATCCAACTATCACTGTTGTCCATAGTATTCCGCCCAATCTTATTGCCTCTCCCTTCTGTTGTAGTTGTGGATTTGGTGTGGCATATGTTCGAACACCTGTAACAACTTTGACCTCAGTTGTAGTCCTCGGCGGAACATACACCTCAGTTATAGTAACCTGACCATCAGCATTGGTAGTCATTACTGTTGACGTTGTTGCAGGAATAACAGAAACAATTGTTGTGGTTATCGTTTCAGTTGTAGTAACAAGAATCTCGTTCGAAGCAGCAGTTACTGTCGTAGTTGGTTTTGTTGATGATGATGTTTCTGGTACAACAGGGCTTGCACTAAAAAGAAGTTGATAAGATGTTTAGTAAATAGTTATTATTCCAATTATGCAATGTTATCGAGACTATTTACTTACGGGCAATCACCTCCACAACCAGAGACTTGAGGACTATTATTAGAAATTGTGTTAGCATCACATCAAGAGATATTTGTTATTGACTACCAAGATACATACTCTTGTCTACGCAACACAGCAGCTCGACGCTCTAGTGGACTTAATGTTGATATAGTATGTGTTGGGGGTTTGAGTGCAAATATCAAAACTACAATGAAGATGAACAATATGAGGGGTTCCTTTATCTGCGGTCTTGTAGGCATTCTTGTAGGCATTTTTGACGAAGACTTTTTTTTTAAAAAGTGGTAAGGCGGATTCGAGTTGGCATTCTATATATATACGAGTACAAGACAATCCGCAACAACAATCAACAATAATGTTGTGTGATCGAAAATTTTATTGTTCGACCGAAATAATCTAGAAGTTCATTGACAATGATATGATAACAGTACTTAAATGTAGATAACCAGTTTTAGCATATCATAGCATTTGATGACGACACTGACGAAAGTAAATCGTTTGAGTTTGGTTAATAAACAACACATTCTTCTTGAGAGACTAAGCAGAAAATAGGGACTGCGAACTGCGGGTAGCCAATTAAGCCACACACGTCTCTCTAACCATAAATGAGCAGATGCATACAATACCGCCACTATTGTGTCTCGATTTGAAGCAAGGAGAAATTCTCCCAATTATGTGTTACGTATTACTTTACTTGTACCTGAATTCTAAAGTTATGGAAATATCCCCCGTTATTAATACAAGTCTTTAGAAGAAGAAGAAAAAAAAGAAGAAGAGAACCGCTTGCTTCAACACTTAGCTTGTAATCAACAGCGCTTTGCAGACAATCGCTAATTCTGCTCTGTCCCTGATTCTGCGCACAGAACAAAGTATCGTTATCCTTTCTGCAGATAGGGGGGAAGTGTGTTTGATAATGAGTGGAGTTTAGATAAAAATAATCGATAACTCAACTTATGTCTACAATGTCGATGCGCTAGTATAGTTAGTATATATTCACCTAATCGGTGTTCCGGATTACAACGACACAGAAAAAAGGGGGAAATGTACAATTTAACAAATTGGGTCAATTGTAGAAACTGCGGTTAGTTTAAGGTTGCACGATCTGTAGCCATGACATGCTATGCGCATAGCCTTCTCTATAAAAAAGTGCGTCTCAAAGTATTTATATCTGCCGATGTCTTATTAATATCTTCCCACATGCTTGACCGCTGTCAACCGGGACGATTGAGTTGAAGAGTGTAGTGCAGTCGACGCTTGTATGTTTTGCCAATTTGGCAATGGGAATAATTCGCCACATTAATAATCAATAATTACACATCTTATAATTATTTATAGTAACTCGTTTACATTTGTCTTAAAAAGTTTTCACAATAAGAAGCCTTGGCACTCATGTGTAACTACTGTTCTATATTGTAGAATTATATGTCGGGGGGAGGAGGAAAACGCCCGCTTTGCCATTGAGAAATTGCCGTTTTGGCAACAGGTGAGACAATGAGGTGAGCGTCACACAATTTTGGAGTTAAAGTTGACTGAAGCATGCAAATGTTCAAGGTGTACCAATAAACTCCATCGATTTGAGTGATAACATCATCGGGGCAATCGCAAAAAACGTTGATGCAAGATTCAAACATATGTTTTTGCTCGATCCTGCATATCGTTACGGCCAATAAAAGAAAAATTATCATCACTCTCTGAAACCGAACGATTGTATTTTTAATTACTAAGCGTTACGATATTCTTTGTCAAACTCGAAACAAGCCTTTGTTCTATAGACAAAAAACACAAACATACACACACGTAATTTACAGTGTTGGGCTCACAATACTAATTAGACTATATAAGGATTGTGGCACAACGGGTTTACCTCGGACTAGCAAAAGACCGAAAAGAGAGTAAGTGTATTAGTATATCAAATATTATATAAGAGAACACTTCGAAATGTAAGACAATAATTCTCTTCCAGATTGAAGAAAACCAATTCACTTGAGTAAACCTTTTAAAGTAATGAGTGTCTAAATGCGAATGATGATGATAAGAGGATTAGAAACACGGTAAAGGATACTTAATATGGTAACAACTACCATAATTATCCGACTATTATTATCGTGGGAGAGATCACACACTTAGACCAGTTTTCTCTATAAGGAATTGATCTATTTATATCGTCTATTTATATCACATGTTAACGTGAACCAAACCGGTACTGATAATCATACTCTACTATTACGTCTTCACCAATCTCTGGATTTTTTTGGGGTGCTCTTCATTCAAACTAATTCTGGCATTACAACTAAGTTTTTAGCAAGGAAAAACTGCTTTTTTATTTCATTGACGGCTTTTCTTTGCTCAGTAGTCATTACATCTTTTTCCTCCCTGATAATCAGGGTCCATCTCATCCTTCGCCTATCACCGGCATTAAAAAAAAAACTTACTCAATATATACTTAATGGCATAAGTTTCACTTGAACCTTTGGGTCGACATAACTACCTGCCGCTCAAAAGGTTTCGGACGAATATTTTCATACAAAGGTATTGCAAATAAAACGTCTTGAATCATTATTATTAGAAGAGAACGCTTTAATAATAGTAACACTTGCTTCTTGTAAAGGCATCTAACTGTAAACATAACAAGCATTCATAAAAAAAAAAACAACTTTCAAATAAGTTCTTACAACAAGCTAGACCATCAATTAAGTTGTTGTATAATTGTAACAATACAGTGTGTATGTAACTTTTTGTTACTTGCATTTCACAGTGTTAACAAATACCCTGCATTAATTAGCATTCTTTTTCAATAATGTTTATACATAATTTTTTCCTTCTTTAGATATTAGAGTAGTAGCATCATAAAATTCGTTCTATCCATGGATAATATAATTGTCATCAATGTTGAACTGTTGCATGTCAGTTTGGAATTGGCAATTTTACCTCAAAAAAAGAAATTTTATATAGGAACTTAAGATTGTTTCCTTTTACATAATTATAAAATACATCTGCCCGGGTTTGTCTTCTATTCAATAACTTTTAACTGACATACAACAATATTGATAACGACTTAAGTATCAATGCTATGTATGTACATAATTTGCATTTAAAATTAATTTGCCCGTAATAATACTGTATTATTACTACTTCATTGGTTTCATATTCAGTAAATCTCTTAAATTGTTCGAGACATTATTATAGGTATCCGAACGTCAATTTTAGATACAATATAACTTTATCACGCAAGACTTATAACTAGATTCTTTTCGTAGTGCATTAACCTATGCTTACTAAAAAGACTAGTGCAATGCTTGTGCAAAACGAAGACCAGTCCAGGTTATTACGGTTCTATTAGTGTAACATAAAAAACAAACACTAAAAAAAAAACAACATACAAAACACGCGCATACACGTACGTTAGTACCTTTTTTCTCTTCTTCTTTGAGTTTAACCCTTTTCACAATTTAAGGTTACCGGGTTCTTGACCCAACCCATAATTACTTTCAAAGACATTCTCAGATAGAGCACGCCTTCGTCAACGCTTGTCTCACTTCGACGATTGTCGCCATTTCTTTTTTTTTTTGTTAAGTGTTTGATGGGAATATGTGCTGTCTAATACCGTAATATACTGATCAGCGGCTTAATATCTATACATCTTTAAGAAAATACGAGTAAACTAAAGTACTTGTTTACTTCGGCAGATTAATCATAGTTTTCTTTAGTTGTTTTGTATAATTAATTAAGTTTATACTCTTCTTACAGTAGAATCAATAAAATAACGGAAATAATAATTCCCACCCAACTTTTGGAGATTCACAAAAAAGTCTATACCAAAGTAGTGTATGTTTCGCTTTCTTTAACAGTGCTTGTGTTATGAATAGATCCATTGCGACTAGTGTTCTCAGTTTTTATATACTCCTAATTTCCATAACCAAACCCTTCCTAGTACTGATAAAAGTTTCGTTGGTATTTTCAGGAATTAGGCCAATTCTCAATTTCAAAAATATTGCCGTTTCGAGATTTAGAGGTTTCCATTATCTTGTTCTACCAAAAAAATAAAAGGGTGGAGAGGTAACGTAGAAAGATGTAACTAAAGTTGTATATTCTGTAGATATAGAAAATTTTCAACTTTGCTCTTTTTTTTTATGGCTCACTATTTTCAATGTGGTATTCACCTTTTTTGTGCTTTTCTATTATCTAAATGCTAGCTAGCCTTTCAGCATTGAAGAGTATAAGTTAATTGTATGGGTTTACTATAATCAGTGGCGAAACCAATTGAGCATATAATTTTTTTTAGAAAAAAAAAAAGCTAACAAACCAAATTACTAGAAGCGGTTGAGAACAGTATAGAAATTTGGCGTCGATTTAATCACTTTTTTAATTAACATTCTTTGACTAAAAGTTGTCGCTAATAATGCGCAGTTTTATTCTTGTGCGTTGTTGTTGCTGAACAGAAATGTCTATGCTAAAATAAGCTGGATAAGCCGGGTTACTAACATCTGATTGTGGATTGAACGGATGCTGAAGCCTTACTTAGTATGTTATTTAATTAAATAATTTAGCACAACATAGAATCATAAATTTATACTATACCTTAACAATATGAGTATAAAGAGCTTCGTTCTGGCATGGACATGCAGGCAAAATTACGTTAGAGCCAAGTTTGAGGGGTTTTCGTCTGGGTGATGTTTTTGTCAATGCGTTAAACCATTCCTTTTCTTCAATGTTGCTGATTTAGAATGAGAATTCGTAAGATTCTGTTATTTTCAATGTGAGTGCTAACAAGTTTTATTGTTGGACGTGAGTGCTCGTGCGCATGCTTCATATTCAGAGTAATAATTGGTCGTAGCAAAGTAGCCACATTGTATAAGGTAGACTAGGGCTCTGTTAATCATAAATACGCTGTCGGAGCTATTTATAATACAACAGACTTGCAAACTATGCAATTCAAAATTATTTATCCATTTACGTATCATTTATTATTTCAAAACAAATTATTAAATTATCTTCAAATAACTACACAAACAAACATTCATTACCAGCTTCTACATATTATTTAACCTTTTGGTCCCATCTATTAATGCAACTTGCAGTAAGTAGTCTCTGTAATACATGCGCCCAATTAATATTATAAATGACATGAGAATGTCTGCGGAGGGTTAAAGTTCGTATTGTCATTATGTTCTCTAATAACGTTTGAGCTCCTTATTATAATAATTGTTGTTGCTTCCAATAGTTTACATGAAAAATGTAAAGAACGACGCAACTATAATCAAGGCAGCCATCCATACTTCTCCTCTCACTCTCATGGCTTTACCCTCAAATCCTGAAATAACCGTGGGTGTAGGTTTTGCAGTCACGACAACTACTGTTGTATGTTTACTGTGTAAGAAAACATATATTATATTAGTATTTGTTGACAAAATAACCAAGCAAACCTGCGCGAATACATTAATATTATTTATTTACGGGCAACTATCTCCACATTGTGATGCATGGTATACCGGCGTTGAGTCACTAGATGTATTAGATATTGTTAGTAAATACTTTTTTTTATTGCAATGGATATACAGGTTACTAATTACACTTTACGATTCATGACAGTATATTAGCTACTTACAAACCCCGTTTATGTAATCTTATTGAGGATTGAGTTGGTTTTTGTGCGGCGTAAATTACCAAAGTGATAAAAACAAATAAGAGAAGTGGTTTTGTTATTGTCCTTCGTGCGATGGTTCCTCTCATTTTTAAAAAGTAATTCAGAAAATATTGTCGCTATTCGAACGATGATGAAGCAATTTATATAATTAAATGTTACGCAAAACTCATAAAACTTACCATAAAGCTAAACGGGAAAGCGTGATACCGTAAATGATTTAATAAAGGCTCCAAAGATGAGACAGATATCACCTCTCTATTGGGTATATTGAATGAAATCAAACTGAACGCCGCCGCTCATCGGTCGGTAATATGCCTGTATATGTATTTTGTTAAATAAATTCTTAAATCTGTGATACGATTAGCCCAAATCTAAATAATTTCCTATCACAATAAATCAGTAAGAATAAGAACTGCAAACTTCTTTCCAAAACAAAATGGTAAAACGAAAAAGAAAAGAAAAATAGACATGTAGTTTATAGTGTAGTGCAACTGTTAATCAAATTATGGTCATCCTTTTTTTTTTCTTTAACATTTTGAACAGTGCCAAGCAGGGACGGGTAATCAGTGTGAGCAATGTTAATGATACATTATAATTGTGTTATTATCATTTATTTGACCATTTCATTACCGCTGTATATTAGCTGCCATGTGTGGTGCCTGTACAATTAATAATCAAACAAGTCAACTAAACGTACCTCTGTTGTATAAAATGTGACTACCTTGTTCGTTTCTCTATGTTTTAACTTGTGCTTTCTAAAAAACATATTGTTGAGGTTATCGGTGGATTTTGCTTATGGGGTTTGCGCGTGTAACCTGGCCGTGATACTTTAATTATTTACAAATGATTACGGTGAAACAGGTTCTTGCATATGAGTTTTACACTATGCCGGTTGATATTAAAGCAAAGAGCACATGCGGATTTCTCAGTCTGCTATGATTGTCTGCACAGTTGATGTCACGAGTATTTGTTTATTGAAACAAGGATCCCTAAGTTTAAAAGGTATACCGTGCGGACCATTTGTCATTACTCGGCATTCATACAGATGGTAATAACGGAAATTGCTATAATTAGCCAGTATTTATATGTTGATCTGATCTGATCTTAACAGCTGTTGTACAATCAACTATACCATTATAACTATACCATATGTTTCTATCAATACCACAGATTAGTTGGTTGTTTAAAAAAGAGAATGCACGAGTAATAGTCGTTGGTAGACGAACCACCGCTAAAAACTGCGCATACCGTAATTCCTTACTGGAGTAACCGTAGTAAACAATGAGACTAGCATACAGGTTGAGTAAATATTATTTGCCGTTTTTAGAAGACGTTAAGGTTGTAGTAAACAATACCAAACCTACCAGAATTACACTTTAAAAGTCCGACAACCCTTCCTCTGTATGGTACGAATTAAAACAAGCACAATAGTGCTTTCCTGGTCAATAAATCTTAAAATTACTTGGATGGCTGAGCGAATAGGATCTGCAGGCAACAAATCGGGTTACTTGACGCAAGTCTTCACGTTTCATGACTCACGTCTAATCAAAATCGATTAATTTATATAATTAATTTTATACAAGTCAATGGATAACCACTCAAGTGGTATTACATGACATAATTTCTATGCAAAAGTCCATAATAATAATAATGCTAACATTCAACGACTAGATACAATGTGCTTGAGAATTCCATAAACAAATCAATGGTCTATAAGATTTTATTACACATTCTTCATCGGCATTCACCCATGCTCTCATTGTCTTTATCAGGTTATTGTCGAGCATTTAATGATATCGTTCTCTTCTTTGGTACAGTTACACGTTGTCAGCCGGTAACTTTTATATTTTTAGTTATCAAATAATGAGGCGATGTACAACTTGAAGTTTGGGGAAGTGACTCCTTATTTGAACGTAAGACGAAATATAGGAAAAATCGTTTGATCAACAAATTGTCTTTGATACGTTTAATGTCGGACAAATAGTTGCACAACCATGTCGTTTCATTTCATCGTGCAAGATATGAGTTGATTATATTAATGGTTTGTTTATATACCATATTTACCCAAGCTTTTGCCCTTGATGCATTCCACGTCATATTCCATGATGTTGTCAGGCTGCTGTTAGTCACGAAACTCATTGGTTTAAGGAGAAAGGATAAACATGCAAGACGCCGTGGAAAAAAAAATTTTCCCCTGAAACATTTGATTAGTGGAACGTTTCTGGTATGACTAAAAGATAATAATTTTAGATTTTATTTTGATTAACTATCGATAATAAGATAAGTTATATACAATTGTTCGAGAGAAGTACTTTTTAAATGCATAATGTCTTATTCGAAAGTCTCATTGTCCTTTAGAAAGCAGCAAAGAATGATGCGACCCCAATCAACGCTGCCATCATCCAGAATGTTCCATCGCCTCTCGCTCTCACTCCCCCGCTCGCCTGCAACGTAGGAGTAGTTGTCGTTCTCGTTCCAGTCACAACATTCACTATCGTTGATGTTCTTTGCGGTATAACTACACTTGTATATGTCACTTGTCCATCAGGCAAAGTAGTTGGTACTTGTGCTGTTGTTTCAGGAATGATCGATAAGGATGTGCTGGATGAGGTTTCTGTTACGGTAACAACTGTTTGTCCCGGTGGAGCTGTCGGTGTAGGTGATGGTCTAACAAAATTGACAATATTGGTTAGTCAAACTGGTAGTAGTAGAGACAATCAGGGTGTGTAAAGCGTAATGTAACTACTTACGGGGGGCAGTTATTTCCGCATTGTGATATTTGAGGACTGTGTTTGATTGAATGAATTGATTAATGGGAAAATAAAGTTAGAATGATGATTGTCGAATTCAACAGATAGACTTTTAAATGTTGCGCTGCTCGACTCGATACTTACTCTCTTCGATGAAATCTGTGTGCGGGAGGGGACGATGTTGATGATGATTTTAGCATAAATATCAGAAATACGATAAGTGCGAAGATGTAGATTGATTTCTTCAACAGTCTCTTTAAAAGTGCCATCTTTGAAATATTTTGGATGCTTGATTATTGTTATGATGGATGGTTTGAGATTGATTTAATGTTGTTGGAAACTACTATATTTATAGTTGAAGGTATAGCTGCGGGGCGTGTCCAAAAATGTAAACATTAATTTGTGAACGTTACACTAAGAATACAATGAAAAAACTAGAAGACTGTGCTATTTATTCTGTCTTGCACCCAAAATGGACATGAAGTGACATAATAGCAAATTCTTACACACAAGCTGCGACTTTTTGATAAGAGAGTATTTCAAGATGTAGCTAATAATAACGCTGTACACAGTTCGGAAGATTTGAAGAAAACTGACCAATGTTTCACCGCCATCCATATTTGGAGACCACATTTTTGGCCCTTGACCATAATTGATTAGACAACCTATAATTAGCATAACACAAATCAGGAGTACATGATGTACCTCCCCTCCCCCGAAGAAGTAAAATTTACCCTTACGGGAAAAAAGCTTATTCAATTAGCGGCGCTCTCTTTTTTAACTGTCACTTGTCTTATTTGAAAAAGTCCCGACTTTCCCTTGTCCCAGAGACTTTGTTAGCGGATGACATGTTTTCTGCGCATTCATATATCCATTGTATTAGGTTACTGAGATTTAAATTTGTATCACCAGTCGTTTATAAACGGCTGAATATGTTTTTCGGCGAGTCGTTGTATTGTTCCGATTGTTAGTTCTCTCTCATTGGCGGGGAGGCGACCCGATCGTGTTTATAAACGCACAAACACAATGTTATGAATTGCTTGACGGTTCATGGAATTTCATCTACGACGCCGAGCATCTGGAAACTGACCGCAGTGAATACAATTTCTCCGTTCTATTCCATTCCATATTTTATTCATACTAATTTTCTCTTTTGATATTACTGGTCCTCTTAACAATGCTAATATGATATTAGTTGCTTGACATTGAAAAAAAAAGGGATTGCGGTTTTCTTTAACATTCCAAAGACAGTTATCTAAACCCTATTTGTGTTGGTATTATTGGTTCTGGTAACTTTCATTTGCTTCAGGGTTCCAACAATCTCAACCTCGTGAGCGAGTGTAAAAATAATCAGGGACATGACAATCGATGATCATCTCGTCGTGCTCTGCACATGTTGAGTAGCTATACATTTAACATGATAACGTATAAATCAAAACCACCTGCCTGTTAGCTAAAATTATTACAGAAATCTGCTGACAAAAAGCAAAGCAGATATTTCTGTCTTTACCGTTCCAACGATTGCTCAGCACAGTACATGCCAACCAAATAGCACAGCACAGACATTCGGATATTATTCATTAATTAATTATTTGTTTAGGTTTTGTGCATGGCAAGACAAAATGCGTAAGAAACGAGTGGTATAATGCGTGATCAGTTGCGTATCACACAATTTGTATCCGCAGTAGGTGCAAACTCTTTGACAAAGCACACATCATCTTTATTAATTAAACATCCAAATTCGTCTGCTCTAAATGATTTCTATTTTTGCTGCGTTAATCTTTGCCGAGTGGTTTATCTAGCAAGCATTTGAAATAAACTGTTGTTCTTAATATAAAAGGTTCTAAAAATAATTTTGGAACGGCGATTAAACGGTTTATTCAATACATATGTTAATGTAATGTTGCCATCATTTTATCTTTATGACAATTCTCGCTCTTTTTTATTGTAAGCCTCGGTTCTCAGAAATTGATTAGATCTTTGACGTTTTAATAACAATTAGAGGCGCAAAATTAGATGCTCAAGTGAGTAGCCAGCTGCGTATTAGTGAAGTAGGAAAAATCCAGCATTTACAAACGTGGTTACCTTTCACATTGTTTAATTTATTCTTGTTTGTTGATTATGTTGTGGTACAACACAGCACGGGCCGTTGATACCGTTGAAAAAAAATAGACAAAGAATTAATAATTATTTGTTATTACTTTACCTTTATTGATATACACAACACACGTTATTGAGACTTTTATCCAAAGCCGAAATAATTGAAAAATTCTGACTTGTATTATTTTGTTGCCAAGTTAACGTAACGTAAGCTGTACCAAGTAAGTACTTTTTTTAGCTAATTTATTTGAGCTTGCAGCTTTTAATCAACTGCTTCATTATTTTTAATGTTTGACATGCTTCGTAAATTTACAAATTATAATAAACAATTATAGATATGCACAGATCAAAGAAGGGCATTACTTGTTATCGTTCTCTGACAGTATTTGTGAAAAGTCACGTATAACTAATCATATGATTTCATGACAGACAAACTCCAAATTAGAAACTGAATACCAATTATTTTAAATTCATAAAATTTGCAGACTCATTCTAGGATCAAAATCAGAGACCAAATGTCAGAAGATATTATTTACGTTACAGAGAAAACACTGCCCGACCAAGCGAATAATCTAATGTAATTTCAAGTCTCTTCTGCTACAAATTTAAACTAATTTTACAACCTTGGCTTTACATACGATTAGAGACTCTATTTTAGGCTACATTAACAGTTAAACTAATATACTGCTGGCATACTGTTCTTGATTTCTTTTTTGAAAGTCTAAATAATATTATACAAGTGGGTCTCGATATAACGACACGCTCGGTTCCAACCTAAATGGTCGCTATATCAAATGTCCTTATATCGGGAACTTAACTTCAACAAAGCAAGTTGTCGTTATACAAAAAATCAATGTTATTGGATGAATTTGATCTGTTAAAACTTAAGCGTCATTACAACAATTAAAAAAATCTATCAATCTTCGTTTGTTTTCTCTTGCACTGCCAAGTTTTTTCTAAATTAGTTAACTCGTATAGGAAGGATAAAATTACTTCAATTTTGCTTGTTGTTGAATATAAGCCTTTAATCCCTTTGTATATCTTGGAGCATCCGATGCGCTAATAATAACGTTTGAAATATCTTCGTCTACTTCAAAGTCACTCCCATCTCCAGCGATTGTTGCAACGATATCTTCATCGGATGGCATTGTGCCTCGCGCCACATTAACAGCAGTCAACTCCGATCCAATCATCGACTGATAACAAATCACTCTCACTGATTCCTGATTTTGGCACAATTTCGGCATTATCTTCCAACGGCGGATTTTCTATGAAGTTGCCGAAGCTAAATTGTTCTGCGTCGTTAATAATTTTATCCCAACAGTCCGATTGTATTCACTCCAACATTTTCCCACGCCATAGCTACAGTTTGTATTGCATCAAGAAGTGTGAAATTACTGGGTTGCGTTCGATTAGCACGTGCAGTTAACCGTTTCAATTCGATTAATGCAAAACAGCTTGCGATAATGTGACTTAAATGATCAAATAATACCAGCATCGCAAGGCTGCAGATATTAGGAGGTAAAAAAAGTAATGCTACATTACTTAATTCATCGTCTTCATTCCACTTATGTGATGAGGCATTATCCAGTATCAAGAGAATTTTGCATTTAATTTACGGAGCCCAATGCTGAAGTATACTTGTCTGCATCAAGCATTTTTTGCTCCAATAGTAATAAACGGGTAGACTTGCTTACTGATTCCTTTTAGAGTACGTGGAGTATTAAATTTGTGAATAAACAGGGGTGGAAGTTTATCGCCGCTAGCATTGCACGTAAGCATTACTGTCAGATTTTTTTGTCCCGGATAAACTACAATGAGCAAGAGTTTTGAATGGTATTAAGTCCCAGTTTCGTCACAACTATAAATGTCGGGTCTATTATAATTAGTTGTCTTTGTTTGTAGATTCGTTCGGTATTCTAAGATGGTGTGCTAGCTGCTTCGCCCGATTTGGCAACCTCAAAAATGTTATGCCTTTTAGATAACCATCCGATAGATACAATGAAGTGTGCATCTGGTACAATTAGTCGAGCAAAATCTAACGCTTTTTCTTGAAGAATAGGACCATTAACCAAGATTCCACATTCAATAGAAAACCATAGTGCTTCGATCTGTGGAAACAATGGTGCGCGTCGTCGTTTACATTTGTTGTACCTCAGTTGGGGACCTGTCTCAGTTCTGGACTGAGACAACTGGGTTCTGGACCGAGTGACTGAGTTCCGAACTGAGACAACTGAGTTCTGGACTGAGTGACTGGGTTCCAAACCGAGACAGGTCCCAATCTCAGACGCAACAGTCTCGAACGTGGAGACACCTAAAGGTCAAGCATTATAATAAAAACACTATGTATGGTAGATTTTTTGCCTACTTTTTCTGCTTGTTAATGTCATTAAGAATTAATTTTTATGCTAAGTAAACGAACGTGGATACGTATTGTATTAATAATATTAATAAAAGAAATTTCAGTTAACTTAAAATGGAGCTTAATAAACAAAAAAGGAGATGTGTCACTCAAATTTGCGTATAATGACTGTCGTTATATTAAATGTCAGTGTATCCCAATACTTTATTGAGATTGTCCAATAAGCGTTTCCAAAAATAGTTGTGATATGATTCTTACTGATGCATAGCTCAATATGGGCAATAATGGGAAGTTGTTCGAAAATCGCAAATAGAAACCAAAATGGTAAACCTATACTTGGAATATTAGTTTTACATTACGTTATGCACATTTGGATGGTTTTCACCACTGGGCTATCAGCAAATAGTTTAAACTATGATTATTTCTTACGTTACTTATGTGCATTTAATTATAACACGTTTAGATAAGTTTGGGCTACCAGCCTGTGGAACGAATACAACGAAATATGATGCGATGCTTGTATACAGTAGGTTAGCCAAGCATCCCAACTCCAGGCTAATATAATGGTTATTGAAAATCCATCTACTCGAGACTGTCATTAGGTTTCTACTAAGCGTCATATAATTCATATGCGGCGGCTTACAGGCGAATGTCGACAGTAGAAATGTTCGTGTCTGAGATCAGACGGGTGCAAGAGTAATAGTAATGCAACATGAGATTTAGCTTATGCGTAATTTTCTGCTATCTTGCTCGCCAAGTATCGTTGACTCTTGATGTCACTCGGTTTTTCCCTTAACACGCAATGACGGTTGTATGATTGCTACTCTTTTACATGTTTTTAGTAACCCAAACAGCAATTGTTCTTAGCGTAATAATAATAATTTTGTTTAACAATTACAATAATTCTAAGCCATAATTGAACACTGGTAAATTGCATAAATTTGACAAACCAACCCAAACTTAAACTTCTTGTATTAAAAAACTTGAGATTGCATTGTAGAAGTAATGAAACCATTAAAACTTGATATGTATAAAAAACTTTTGACACGCGAGACATTATGAAGCAAATACAAGTTTAATTCATTATTATTTTTTTTTCTCTCATTACCGACAAGATCATCACATTTACAACGCAGTCACCGGCTGATGCTAGGTAGTTGAATTAAAAACTGCTAGGTTAAATCTAATTATTGACTCGCCAGCTGAATAAAAAATTTTTCTCGCAATTTATTTACCAACAGTATGAATGAGAGTACATCATTGTTTTGAAACGAATAACTCCTCTTATTAAAATCCCGTTATAATAACTGATTTTAAATATTTGAAATGGGGAGGCATTTATTTCAATCATTTCAGCTCATCCCGTCGACAACATTTCGCCGACATCATTCTAATAGGAATTGTAAAGATAACAAAGTTAGTTAAGGACGTCAATAAGATATGACTGCATTTACGTATTATCTACGTAATTTAGAAAGTGAATAGGAAATTTACTGTATTTATTGGTTATCTCTATTATAATAACAGTTATTTGGCAGGCTAGGAATGAAAACAATCGTGACCACCAAAAGCAAAATTAACAACATTAAAGCTTTAAATTACTGTCAGCAAAATGACTGTCGTGTCGGTGAAATAAAATGTACTGTCGACGAAATAACTGTCGACGAGCTGTACTATCGATGAAATGAACCGGGCCCATTTTCTATAATAAATCTGGTTTCAAATGCAACCTGGACCACTATTCTTGACTGCAGTCTTTGCTATTTAAATAAGTAGCGACTTGGAGTTAGTAAAAAAACTTGAGCTCAGTAAATTTCTTAGATAGTTTGGTAGAGAAACATTAAAACCAGTTTTTTCATTAAACAAACTATTTATCCTTCAATAGTTGGCAATACTCAAATTTTGGACAATTAAATCGAAAACTTTTTAGCTTTTAAGCACATTTAAAATGTCTGTAGTATACCTGTCTTATGAGAGCCAGTGATTTTGTTTTGTGGGCCAACTTTAAAATACAATAATGTGACCACGTTCAACTTTAGTTAATGAGAATTAAGTTTTGAAACATTAATATGTTTCTATATAATTTGTGAATAAAACAATATGCCAAGTTTTACCACGCATGACATAAAATTTTAGCCTTTACACTGAACAACTAATAAACTTAAACCCTGGCCGGGATTGTATACTACGTACGTCAAGTTTGTCAATATAAATTTTGCCATCATCAACCTCTGTCAGATTACTGAGCGAAGGTTTTGGTTGAGCCATAAAGATGGTACACCTAAAAATACGTCTGCGATTATTTACTTCTACTACGAGTTTTCTAGGATTCATCTTTGCAGCAAGGATTGGTCGAGTTTAATAATATAATTTAAATATGCCTATTTTTTTCTTTACTCAAGGATTGCTTGCTTGTTAGCGTGAGGATGACTCATATATATGTGTTTCATAAACACAATGCTACTGAATGTATCCGCACATACGTGGACTATTCGATATCTAATATGTTATAGTCATTATAATGCTAAATCGTACATCAGGTTGGTTAAACTTTTACCACGTAATTCCAATACAAACAATATATTTCGTCAATTCCGAAAAGAGTTAGCCGATTATAATAAAACCTAAAAGCTCGCTTTGACCATTGCCATTTGTAACTGACGGTATACGATGATTAGAGAAGCCAATTAAGGTTAGAATGGCGGGAAGATAGTAGTGAAGATCTTCCGTCTAAATGAACATGACATCATTCACATCTCGTTATTACTAGTCTTATTTGGAAACTTTAAATACATGAGTAAACCGTTCTCGGCATTTAGTATAGTAGATCGCTTTATTTCTTGTATGGTTAGATTAAATTTACTTTGGCGTACTTCTTGTAAACCAAATCCGATTAGCTTTTGTATTGGAGAATGTACTTTTGAATCGGTAACGGCGGTTGTTTAATTGGTACAACCTTTGTATAACCGCTGGAATTTATTAAAGTGGTCTAATGCTCGTCATATAATACGACTTTTTACTGTCAAATGTGCTTAAAGCTAGTTGGTAATGTAAGATTCGAGTCTCTTTACAAAGAGATTGTTGTTGATGTACTTCTATTAGGAATGATGGGAAGATTTTGAGTTGTTTGCTGATGCTAAGCCCTGCCTAAACTCGTGATACAAACCAGCCGTGTGGAACAATGGGATGACCAATCTTCCAGTCCTTTTTATATATAGGCCATTTACATATTGGGAAAATTGATATGCAAGTCTATTGATAATTATACGACGCTTAATAATAGCATCCCACTATTTCAAGACATGTTTACGCCAAGAAAAGAAAGCTTGTCTTTTTAAGTATAGCATAGAGATTTAGATTTAGAACTTAGAATATGATATATCTAACTAAATGGGAACAATAAAGATGTCTTTAACGGAAAATAAAGACACAATATAATTATTATGTGTTGTTAGCAAATGCGCTACAACAAAGTGAAAGCACAACGAACGTTGGGATAAGACCTACGAACGTCAATGAGGTTTCAAACCCAAAATAGAAGTTTCATAGTCAGAACAACAGAAACAGTCACACACACAACAGAGCCACACAAGAAATTTGTTTGTTTCAAAAATAGAATTTATTCAAATGGAAATCAACGCTGGGTCCGTGTGACTCCAAATAGATAAGCAACATTCAAATTATGTCAAATATTACACATTAATAAAAATATAGTCCATACATACTGTCTTGTGTATAATATCTATATGCCATACGCAAACGTCCGTAAAAAAAAACAAAAGAATAATAATATACCAATGCCAAAATACTAACTTATCATTTAACGTTGAAACGAATACAATCATCCTGCGCACCACGTTGAGCAACAGGCATAATCACAGGTGTGTGAGCAAACGACGCACTCATGGTGCAGAGTCTATACAATCCGGCTGGTAATCCATCAGCAACATCTTGTGTCAAAAGCCCATTGGCGTCAGCTGGTTGATTCAATCCCTTGAAGAAAGCAAATATTTGAGCATCCGGAGGAGTGTCAATGGAATCCAATTTCTGAACGGTAACATGAGTATGACCTATGATAATACCGTCGCTATCTAGTTGTTGAGAAAACAGATAATATTGGCTAGTGGCATTATCGAAGAACCCGGTCTTTAAATTAGTGATTACGAGCTTAATGGTGAATGACTTGTTGGCCGGAAGTGTGCTGGCATTTTCAGGGAAAAGGATAATGGTTGAGGGCATTTTGGCAGCTATCGGGATTTCACCAAGTTCAGTATCGCTGCAAGTCTCAATATTACGTTGCTGAGTGCCATCTGCTGGAGTAAGTGTAGAAGCGCCGTCACAAACTTTGCCATTGGGGGGGCCGGAATCCGAGATGGCAGTAAAATTCGCGAATTCATCCGTATTGCCGGCATTTACTGCAAGAACAAGGGCAAGAATTACGGCGAGGAGGATGATAGAACGCATTTTCACAACGAATTATTATTTTTTTTTGGTATTAAGATGCAATTAGTATATTAACTGGAAGACGTTGCTTGAGGATGAGAGATTGCAGAAGGGATGCTTATATATGTATAGAAGAACCGTCGTCGTTGTTGTGGCGCTAAGACTGCATGTTGTGTTCTAGACGATACTAGGTTACTTTGTTATACCACACAAAAATAATTTGTCATACCCACTATATTTATGGAGTTACGTATCTATTACAATCAGTATATTGGAGTGTGACAACAGAAGGGTAAATTTAATCTAAATTGATACAATTGGTCGGCTATAAGCCACCATGATATATTTAATTTGCTCGGTCTTAACCAGAGGTTGATCCACAATTATGGCAATTGGGCTATGTACGATAGCATCGAATAGGCCGAGACACAATATAATTATGCAAAGTTTCAATTGATGCTTATAGCAATCGCAAAGCTCAATAGAATTCTACATTTGTATAGCATCTGTATTTGCGTAGAACTTATCCGGCGATGACAGTTGTACGAATTGCTTGAGATTTGTATTAGTTTTTATTACATACGTCATCACAATATGCATGCCAAGCGTCTATTAATAGCTTTCTGAATTCCACATTTGTATCCGCAGCAGTACATCTGCCCCGGATACACAATTGGGTAAAAAAAGATGCAGAAAATAAATGGTATGTAACAGTGACATAACTATAATATATATGGACCATTAAAAACATTGCATTTCTTGTATCCTAATTTTCAATTTACAATAGTAAGATCATAAGGACATGTATTTGCATACCCATAATCCTATAGCGTAATTTACGCATAGCACAACCAATTCGCATCATTTGATAGTAGCGTAATATACGCATAGCACAGGTTGAATTCCCCATTATTTTTAGTAACAACGCAATTAAATTATTAATGCAAATTAGTTCCAACAAAGTTTGAGTACATTAGACTGTGGCTGGCTTGTTGAAATACTTTTTACCGACGTAGCATTGTTGTTTAAGGGTTCAGGCGTGCGATTGAGATCGGTCTACACTCAAGTTTCGTTGTTTAACTATTCCGTCTAGGCATGTAATGTATGCGTCATCATGCACGAGTATATGTCATCATTTGGTTCAAGTCAGCGTAGATAAGGCAATGTTCAAATTCTTTGTTGCTGCGTGCTCGATTAATCACTTTGCGCAAACTTAGAGTCTCATGTTAATTTACATTTGTTTGGCTACCACGCTGCTTTATCAAAGTAATCAATCAAACCTTTGTTTTCGAGTAGTGTATGACAGCTGATATCGGTGAAATGCTTACACGCGTTGGTCTAACCAAACATGGATGTTAATTTGGGATTCACCATAGAGAATTCGAGGAGTTCGACACTTTTAAAGTTCAGGGATATAGGTACAATGCTGTCAGTCATAGTGGCAATGGACATTCTTTAATTTTTTTTGTCATTCAATCGGAAAACAAACACTCGTTATTGTGTGTTACTAAGAAAAGCTGTGCAACAAGGATTCCCCTCCTGAATTGGTATAGTCGCATGTTTCATTATTAATTAAAAACAATAGAAAGTTTGTTCAAAGTTGTAACGTTTCATCTACTGCTATTATTAGGGCCAATGTCGTCGCTGTCGTATTCTATTCGGAATTGATTACTGTCAAGTTTGGACGTTCAACAAGGGTTTTCGTTTTGTTACCGAACCGCGCTAACCAATTTTAGATTTGTTCAACAGTATGTAATAGATCGATAGTTTTTATTAGCTTATTGAACGTTACGCAAATGTGAAACCGACAGATTTCTTGTCAGTATGTAAGGTGTGCATGATGCTCCGTCCTCTATGCAGTATAGGCTGCTGCTGCTCCGTCGCAGTTATGTGACACACTCGGTCAATCCCGGATGTTTTTAGTGTCGGTTTCAACTTTCTTGAATGCTCCATAGTTTCATGATCACCAATGCTTAATGATTTCAGATAATTTATTGCATTAGAAGATTACCGTAGAGCACTGACTAAAAAAACTTGGGTATTATGCAAAATCAACGTTGTCACATGATGCAAATAAGAATAATATTAATTAACATACGATATTGATAATAAACTACACGTACAAACATTTTAAACGTGCATAGCTGTCAAGAATACATCTCTCTTTTTCTGCGAGGGATTTGACTTTTCTTATAATCTCTATTATCTTTAATCCACATAGGTGTTCTTCTTCTATTGCGGGATATTTCGCTTTTCTGCCAGGACGTAACTTTGCGCTGCTTCCATTAGTTGATCTATTTACTTATCCACTTGCAGTGTCATGGATAGAATGATGACGACAATAATAACAAGTTTGTCTCTTGCAGACCATTTTCTGCGTACTTGCTTAGTGACACGGGAACGTCTCGTAGGTTTAACCATAATGAGTTACAGCGAGGAAGAGTCTGTTATGTACTACACAGTATATTATCACGGGTGTACAAAGTATCCCACCACCGAGTAAAGCACCCCCTTAAAATGTATGGTAGTATTAAGAACCATTTTTAGCGTTTCTTCAAACTCTATCAATGTGTACTTTAGTTTGATTCTGTCTTAGTTAAGGAACATTAATAATATATAACCTTATTATCTACAGTTAAACCATGCTTTTATAAAGCTTTTATTGGTCCTTGTATTTACAAACATTGATCGTAATTCTGTCAACAAAATCGAGAAAACTTTTAGCGTAATTATTGACCACACAATTTCAAGGCAATATTTTCCCCAAGTTTTTTTCCCTGTTTTGTAATAAGATTGAATTTGCAGGCACTTTCCTTGAATCCCACCCCTTAATTTACTTTTGTCAAAAACTACTGCACATGCATCCAAACTATGCATAAATTATATCTTCACTTTTTTAATTATCACAATTTCTTACTACTAAAGCTTTATTTAGTTTGCGCAAGTTATATTTACATCTGACAATCACATTTAATTTGCTTTTTCAGACTGATCTATTTTTTTTACAAAGAGAATTTCCAAGCAGTGCTATTAATTTTATGAATATAACCGTAAATAGCAATATTATGATAATACCTTGCAGTATGAGGGCAAGTATTCTAAAAATATCATGAACACAATCATGCAAGAGTGGGATCAATAAAATTATAACAGCAAGCCTAAAAAATGATATGCTTATCTGTAAATAATTTAGTAGCTTTGTTTTAAATGGTCTAAAGCCTACTATTAAAGCAAGGTAGATTGCTTCTGTACCAAACAAACAAATAATTTGTATAACACCATTTGTTTGGGCAGCTCCAATGGTGATGGCTCTAAGGAAATCATAGGTGAGTGTACATGCAAAGAACCAGATGCAAGTTTGTTGCACCTCGGGATCATCTCGGTATTGAGTGTAAAAGGCACTATAAATAAAGGTGTGGACTGGCATGTCCATTGCATCCCGATCAGACAACATGTCATGTAAAATTTTAAAACTACAAAAGGCTATTGTACTAAAAGAAATTAATGCAGCACTGATTGCAGCAAGCAAAAGCATAATCCAGCAGTCATTGTAAAGAGACAGCTGATAGGCTGCAAAAAGTGTTAAAGGATAATAGAATAAAAGTAGCTGGATATTTGGAAATAAAATATGTTAATGCTTAGTCAAGAGTAAAATAGAAAAACGCTCTTGATTAATTAAGTGTATATTTACCACTCGTAGCATTGTACCTTAAATATAAAATAAATAAAAGGTTGATAAACGAAATTGACTAATCGCTACAAATTTTAAACCTATTGCTTACCGAGTACAAAGAGAAAAAGGTGATCTGCGATGGTTTCCAATGTGGGCCATTTTTCCCATAGGAATTTGCATGAACGTGCCAATAAACCAAGTAAAAATGCAATGCTAGTTACAATCACCATGGCAGCGCAAAACATGATCATTACTATGAAAAATAAATCATAGCCTGGAACATTTTGCGATTGTCCAAAAGCCGCGAAACCAGAAAAACGTGGATCGGAATGCAGCACCAAATTATCTACGCATCCATTATTGACGTCTTTCGAGCAGTTCTGAAGCACGTTACACAAGGTTCCTCGTATCTGCTTATCAACACCTTTGGATATTGCCGCACTGTCGACAAAGCTTGGCGGTAAGCCACTTAACCATCCAATTCTGAACGCCAAATTTCGATAACTCGAACTAAGACAGGGCAAAGAAAGTAAAGCGGTAGTTATGAAAAACTGAGCAGCACGAAAGATGTCGTATATTGAAGGGGGGATAAAATGTCGTCGAGAAATGGAAATGCTTTTCTTTTCTGCCCGCATTATAAACAACGCAATAATTGCTCCAAGTGCCATTACGTTATAGATATGGGATAAAACGTCAGTCATCCAACTTGGCCAGCTCAAATGAAATGGTTCGGCGGCGGCAGGTTTAGGCGTTTCAGTCGGTGTAGCCGTCTCAGTCGGCATAATAGAAGTGCTCGTAGTCGTGTAAGTGACAACATTATCACGATGATTAAGCCCTCTTTTTGGAGCGATTTTGGGTGAAGATAGGTTAGATGTCAGCGGTTGGACTGGATTTACCAAAGCCTTTGCTATGTCGAGACACAATGTAATTATGAAACAAGTGTGAAGAATAGTAACAAATTTTACCAGCATCGTTTGCACGCTTAAGGTTTATAATCTATTAAAATGCAAATGATGCTAAAAGAAAAGAATCTGACTGCAAGTTGGACAAATTCGTTGTCTTATTCCGATTTAGGCAATTTGTGAATGGCTTATTATTATTGATTTATTCCATTTTTGCTACCCCACATGTTGTAATCAGGAGCTTGTGAGTCATTGGTTAATGATTAATCACGGAGAGAAACAACCATTTAGAGTTAACTAAATTTAGCTTAATTAAGTCTTATGTATTAATATGTCGTATGGAAATCCCTTCACTGTAAATTCTCCAGAGCAGTGTTTACATAGTGACGGGATTTACATACAAGTGATGCGATTTGCTCGTATATACCGGTACCTGTATAGAACAGCCAGTCTTACTTGCCTTGCAAAACTTATCGCCAACTTTGGGCACATGCAGGGTAGAACCCACAACGAGAATAATAATGGCGAAAGCGTCTCTTAGCAAGCAAACAATAGTTATCTTGCCATGCTGCATATGTTTTGCATCATTGCCGTACTTGTGTCGGAAATTAGCAAACTCACTGACAAATGCTGGTATACATATCAAATAACAGCAGCGTTATCGTTTCCTTAAATAATGGACGTTGTCGGTTTGACTTGGCTTATCCCGGTAATTTCCGAGTAAGAACTCTATTAATATTAAAGTTTACGTCCATATTTATTTAAGATTAAGTTGTCAATTGCCCCTTAAATTAACGACGTCTGAAGTGAGATAGATAATGGGGATGTTCTCCTACATACATGTTACACAGCGAAGCATTTTTTTTCTTTGTATTTCTACCGAATAAATTGCTGATTAATTGTCTGGTTAGATAGATTCACCCTACTCATTTTGAAAAAGTACAGACACTTAGTTAAATACATATAAAATAGCCCCTCCTGCAGCATATGTACAATCATATCATGTCATGCATAATTCTAGGCAATAATCAACACAAGCCTCTTAATCTGGCCTTACAAGTGTTATAGATTGTGAATAATTGCTCCCCATCCCCATGAATTTGAGTAATATTGAATTAAATGAGCAATTAACTGCAACTGCCAACTTGGAATCAATTGTCAACCAATGAATGCTATGTGGAGGGGACACTTCATGTTTTGTAACAGCCCGAGAAGATACTGAAACTGTCTTTTACTAACCGACAACCAAATTAATAAGCATTATGAAAGTTATGTTATGTCACCCAGATGATTTACTAGAATATACAGACAAAACCCTCCAAGTGCACATTCTAACCCTAAATGCACGATCCCGAGCTTAGGACTTAATGATAAATGCACACTCCCTATTACTATCGTGAGGGACTTTTATTCACAACAAGGTGCTCGCTAACGCCCAGTTTGAGCTGTCACCCCCATTACTATATCCGTGCAATGATTTCTAAATGTATGCACGTGATCAATATTTGTATTGACCAATTATATTATGGTTTCAGGTTGTTGATCTGCTAATTAGTCCGTGAATTGGAAAAACAGACCCAATGCAATGCAAGTTAATGACTTATTAGAGACATTTTTGATGAGGTGAACGCCGAAGAAATGGATGACAGTATTGAGATTCCTATTGTAAGCGCCAGTAATGCATTAAAAATGTACGATGGTTTGTTACAAGAAGACACAAGTGAGCAGATAAGACAGCTAAACATTTGTTAATGGAAGGAAAAGTAGTCAAACGAGACAAGCAAATCAATATAATAAACGTCCATATTATCATATATACGGTGTTACACAAATTACTATTTTCCCTAAATGCACACCCTCTAAATGCACGCCATGGTCTGGTCCCTTGTCTGTAAGCAGTTCATGTGTAACCGAATAGATGCGTCGTGTTAACCTGATTAGAACTCAAGGCTAACCGAGTAAGTAACCAAGGCTCATTAATTCGCATGATTATTATTATTATTATACAAACCTTGGACTTCTTTATAACTAACCGTTCAAACGATGATTTCACTATCGGAGATAATAGTATCACCGCACGTTCTAGTACTGTTCGTTGTTGGACTTGTTGTGATAATCTATCGGCTTCGACGTCCAAAACTTGTGAGTTAATGTCGTATGGCAGGTGTCCTGAATAACGTGCACTGAAACTTCTTTGATATTTGCATAGAACGAGCCTCCACTCGTACCTTACAAGTATCCGTTTGTTGGACATTCTTTTGAAATTAAGCGAAATCCTGAGGAGTTTATCAAACAATGTCATAAGAAGGTATCATTATCATTGCAGCAAGGATGATATGCATTTTTGTTTGTTTAAAACTGAACTATATTGATTTTGTAGCACGGAGATATATTTTCGCTTTATGCATCTCGCCAGATTTACACTGTTGTCAGCAATGATCTAGCCTATGAAATGTTGAGGTCATCCGATTTTAGTTTCAGGAGCGCGTCTGACCAAGTATGTTGGTTCATGATCGCACAAGCATTCACTCATTTATTGCTTAAGGGCATATTTATTCACTCTACTTGTTAATCAGAGATTCCCGTTTTACGACATCATTGGATCTACCTTGTATCCAGATTTTACTGATAACATATCTGCGATGCTCATGGATAGGTTATACAGGCATCTTGGTGATTATCAGCCCCGCATCTACCGCGAGCTACAAAATGGTATAGATCAGTTGATTGGGGACTGTAAGGAAACTAAAGTAATTGAGAATCCTGGGCATATAATAAGGACCATTATCGCGCGGACAGTTGCAAATGTGATTGTTGGTGAGGTAGATATTGTGCTGGTTGAGATGTGCGATTTTTATTAGACCAATTGTAAATCAATACCATTTCTCAGACGCTGTGTAGAGATCCTGAAGTCGTGGAAACATTTGCAACATTTGCAACTATGTTAGTGCAGAATAGAAAACTTTCCAACTTTGCATACTTTATTCATCCTAGTCTCCACAGAAAATATGTGAAGTGAGTCTATAAGACTTTTGTTGCTGGGATCGTAATGGCATGGTTCCAACAATAGTATTAATAATTAATACCATACGTCTTGTTAACTTACTCAACTCCAGATTGATCTTTAAATACGGTGACAACCCAGTACAAAAGCATAAGGATCTATTAATAAGGAAGTTAAAGCCCATTTTTGAGAAACATCAGCGAGACATGCAACAGCATGGAAATGAATGGAAATGTTCCGTAAGTAAATTTGATTCTCAGTTTCTATTAACAAATAAGTTATGCGGATTATTAATTATCGAGCACACATAGGATGATCTTATTCAAAGAATTATCAACCACTCCCTTGAATTATTTGATGAAATTCAATATGATTACATAACATGCTATTTGTTGACTCTCATATTGGCTGGAATACACACCGTGAGTACAAGTATTTTGAATGCTCTTAACGGTAAGTAAGGTTGAAAAATACAGTATCTATTTATTAATTGTAGCGATGAAGAATTAAATTAGATGCCTACGTGTTTATTATAACTAGATTTTGCGGGAAGACCAGAGTACTGGAAAGATCTAAGAGAAGAACAAGAATCCATAGCGGGTGATTTTGAATCTGATTTGAGTGTAAAACAAATAAACGAAATGAAAAAATTGGATAGTTTTATCAAGGAGTCCATTCGTCTTGTGGGGCATGTCTGTGAGTATTTTATTTAAGAGAAAAATAAATGGTTTCAACGTGTTTAACGTTTCTTCTATAATATTTTATATTTAGTGGCTCTCCCCCATCGTCTAATGAGCTCATCGTACACATTCAATAACGGATATCAGGTTCCCAAAGGCATGCTATCACGCTAAATTTTCAATCAATTTATTAGTCATCACTATCTAGCTTACAATCTAATGGTTTCTCGACCATATATTTTCTAAGGCCGCCTTGTGTTCGTGAACCATCTCGCCTACGTGTCTAATCCCTCTCTACATGGTGATAATCCAGAGACATTTTCTGGATTTAGATATGTCGACAAAGATCCATTTGCCATGGTTGGTAGGACATCAATAGCATTTGGTCTAGGAAAACATGCGTGTCCAGGTAGATGGTTTGCCGTTAACAATATTAAGACAGCAATGTCAATTCTTATTAGAAAGTATGAGATTAGCAGTCTTGACGGGAAGCGACCGAAAAATATTTCAGCGCATGGATCTATCATAATTGCTTCGGTGCCTTTGAAGTTTAAAAACAGAAAGTAACATAGTGAGGGCGATGCAGACGAGAATTTGAAACAGCTGTTATTTTGTATACCCAATACTTTTTGAGAAATACGTCTGTAAGTTTGAATAAACAATTTTTGCAAAACGCTGGTATTTCGTACGTAAGTAAACAACATATCGGTTTTACAAAAAATACTGTTCGCTCATTCAAAAAAAAACCTCGTTTGCAAATGTATTTAGTTTGAAAAGAAGCAACATAAGAACCTTTGTCTCATTTTCAGAATACAACAGTTCAAATTCAATACAGTGAAATTATTAATTAATATGTGAGAGGGAGTAACATTTACAGTATATTGGGAAGCGATTGGTCTATAGTATACATTATACAGTGCTTGCTGCTATGAGAGTTTTTAGAAAATTTACGCAATAAGTATGATTATGATGTAAACGATGGACGTGAGATATTACATACTGTATCTGTTGCCTAGAAAATAGAATTGGTGAACGCGGATAGGAAGAACTTGACTGAGGACTATTAGGCTTGTACTTCTAGACTGAGACAACTGAACTGAGACAGGTCCCCAACTCAGACACAACAATTCTAACAATTGTCCTTCGGTTCTTTTCCGTAACGCTGAAATACTTTTGGTAGTGTATAACTCCAAGACATTTTATCTTCAAATTTTCTACGTCCTCACAATTTGTGGCCGGTCTCTCTCCTTTCTATCAAGACTATTTCGCTTTTTATTTGACCAATATAAAAACCACCAGTAATATTGTCTAACATTTAACAGTTGCTGGAATTCAACATGCATGCATGTGTTCTTCTGAAAGTTTACGAGGAACCTAAATTTCACAAATTTTGTAAACCTAGATTATTATACAAAAATGGCAACTCTTCCATAAATCATGCCTGCTTGATCCAGTGCCTGCTGTGTACCTGTCTCAGTCCAGAACTCAGTTGTCTCAGTCTAGAACTGAGACAGGTCCCCAACTGAGCAACAATATCCACTATTACGTTACTGTCAGGACAACCATTAAGTAATGACGGACGTATATTTCTCTCGAGTATTTCTCTGACAGTAGTACGACCGTCGCCTACATCATGAATTCGGGAATGTTGTCTGCCTAGTTGCAACACAGTACAATAATAATAGTAATAAATGCTAAGAATAAAAATGTAGCGAGCGCAATACTTTCAGATATATAAGTAGCGTAACTTTCCGTTAGTTCCATGTTTACGTTTTACATAAATATTAATAATGTAGTTTTTATAATTCGTTCTTGATAATTAATTCGGTAGAGCGCGAACCAATCCCTCATCGATTAAGAATAATTGATACTCGTTCTTCGAATACCTAGTAGCATTATGATTACTGTTTATTTAAATAATCATGATAGCTATATATAGTTTGCAATAAAATAGATGCCACAACTTGGGCCGACACAGACCGTGAGTAGTAAAACTTGTTTAAAGTCACTAACCGTCGAATTGTATTTAACTAAATAGAGACTGAAAGAAGTTAAATTCCAATGTCAATTATTATTTGCTCTCCTTTACCGTTGACACGACATTACTAAGCAGTTCAAAGTAGACGAGCAGAATTTTCTCCTTCAAATCTTGCCTTTTTGTAATTTACTTGGTTTATATATACAGTATTTCCTCAAATCAGAAATATTAAAGAAAAAGATTTAAATAATATTAAAGACTTGGAAACGGCAGTTCAAGTAAGTGTTACTGATATCCTAAAGAATAGAACCTTACTAGAGTTGACTACAACGTTGTATAGTGTTTCCGCCAGACTTACTTGAAAAAAAAATTATAGTCTATTCACAAACTTTTGGTATTCTCACATATTAGTCGAAAATCTCAATAGAACATCCTACACCATTGATGGATTCTGACAGAGATTGTACCGGTACGTACTATTTCAATTGTTAATCGGAACTGATATGTAAAGCTATTTCTCACAAATTATTTGACAAAAAGACATTAATAGATCAGTTATCGCTATCTGTAAATCGATTAAAAATGAACTTATTAAAAACATAGTGCAAATAAACGTTTTCTATTATTGGCTTATAATCTTAAGTAGGCAGTGTATTATTTGTAGGCCAATAAATTTTACGTATCTTTGTTGTATCACGAAACTCGGGTAATAACAATAAGTAGAAACCTGTGTCGGGTTTAGCCATGTCAGCTATTTACAAATTTATTCTAATGTGATAAAATTGCTGTGAGACAAAAATTGGCTAGTCAGGCAGACATTCTATCAGATATTTCAACAGTCGTGGTCTATAGTTATGCTGATCAACTACCAGCCGCGTACGTTTCTCTCGAATAACCACAGTAAAGTAATTTCTATCTCAGAATTTATTAACTACAATTTTACCTTACTAGTCTTTTTTGGAGGAGCATTTAAGAAACCATTACTACGTGGGGTGGTTGAAAAGTTTTGATGTTTGATTTTTACTCAAAAAAAAAAGAATAAATAAGTGTGAGCTCGAAACTTCGCTTGAAAAAATTTTATTCTAATTATTTTACTGGCTCTGTGATAAATTTTTTAAAAACTCGATAGCAAAACAAATGGCTTTATTAGTTACCCATAAAAATCGTAGATTCTTTATTTTTACTTGCCGAGAAACTTTATCAACTTTTGTCACACGCATGGGAATAATGTATCTTCAATTGTGACAGTTAGAAGGTGAATCAATAAATTGACAATGGGGAAGAAAACCATGCTCAGAAGGGTCCAAGGAGGCTGTTAATTAGAAAAAATATCGATGCAATTGAAGGAGTTGCCAACAAAAAATCCTTATATAACAATGCGAGAATTAGTAAATAGCATAGGAACTGTCATTATAAATAATAAACGTCTTCGAAATCAGAGGCAGAAAAACGGTGCAAAAATGTCATGATAATGCACTGTCACATGAGCATCACTTAGTTATACAGTTGAAGCTGTTTATAGTGAATCTGGTTAAACGGAACTTCTATTGTGGACTGTCACACAAACATAGCGGGGAAATTATTGTATGATTAGGCCATTAGCCAAATTTAGTCAGAGTTATCGGGGTTAGTGTGCTGTAATCATTATGTAACGTCTAATTCATAATTGGACAATCCTTACTGATAAAGATGTAATAGAATTAGTAATCGGGAGGAGATGAGTAGCGAAAGTGAAGCTAAAACGTTAGAAACAATAAGTAATAGAACAGCCAGTACATCAATCGACACTGTCTTAAAATTTTTGTATCAACAAGGACCAGAATTTGGCAAGGTTGCCGAAGAAGTAAAGATTTTGAGAGCATTACGCAGACGGGTGGAGCTAGTCATTCAGAAAAATCTTAAACAAGTTAGTCTTCACCATTTTGATCGAACATTAGTTGGGAGTTCTTTTTTATAGTAGTTGGGGGAATTGATAAACATTGTTGCACGTGTGTATTGTATGTCACATGACTTTTGCTATAGTGAATGCTGGCTATAGTGAACTAAAAGCCTCAGTTCACTATAAACAACTTCAACTGTAAACTTGTTACAACAGAGCAAATGTATCTGCTCCCTCATACTCTTTACAGTTTGGATTTATTTCCCTGCAATTTTTTCTTATTTCCAAGGATCCTTCGAAAATTGGAAGGGACGGCTGAAACGATTAGAAAACTATTTTGAAGGACTTGTGTAAAATTATATGTCTGTGAAATACAATTATGCGATCAAAATTTTCAACCAACTCACGTATTTATTACTCACGAAAGTGCGCATTTGAATAGCTTTGAGATCACATGATTAAACATTTAGAGTCACACAACAAGGACCTTTTGTCGATATTTAAACAGTGTACACTTTCATGTTAGCGCTGTTACCGTTTGCATTATTTATATCCGGGATATTAACAAAGAGAGACGCATAATTAGGCCAATGAATTAGTTTATGTTTATAAATTTGCTTTATTTCTTGTTATTAAATACCAATAAAAACCGGAGCTCTTGTATATTTACCTCACACAACACACAGATATTGTAAAGAAAACCCAAGAAGAATAATCTACTCGTTTTATATTCTTGGGCTATACGCAGTATGGTAAATCAAACTATTATCCACACAGCAGCAATTCTATCCACAATCCCCCAAAGAAGAATACACAATAACGCGGGCGAACTACACATACCCACCTGACTATAAGCTACCACCAGAAACATATGAATATGCATCAGCTGCACAATTAGACAACGGTGGGTTCCTCCAACCCAACTAGTTACAGAGGGAGGTCGACATATACTCAAAAGAGTTCTCTGCCTCTCGACCGAAGGGAGAAAAGAAAATTGCTGTCGTAAAATCATTGCAAGTTGTGTGTGACATCATTTGCTGCATTATGACTACAGTTGACATCATCGGCTGACAGAGAGCCTTAGTATGTATGTAAATGTTGCACCTCAGTTCGGGGAACCATCTCAGTCCAGAACTCACATTTCAGTTGTCTCGGTCCAGAGCTCAGTCATCTCAGTCCAGAACTGAGACAAAAGTCCCGAACTGAGGTACAGCATAAGTAAGGGTACCGTATTTGTTGTTTAATATCTTCATCAAGCGTGGAACCATGATTGTCATTTATGCAACCACGAGTATTGTTGATGTTGCTAACCTTATATCGGGGTAGTCTAAATCCAATACGACAATAAGTATATAGTCAACAAGTGTGGCTTAACTGGTAACTAGCCAGAACCAATCCTAATCGATTATACGTTGAAGCGCAAGCCTAAAAGTAATCACATACACGATCGCTATTTAAACATTAGTTGTCCCAATCTGTAATCTTCGATTAAGACTTTTCTTTGAGTAACGTACAGTATATTTCCTGGAAAAAAAATAGAATTAGTGTAACTATCGCTCTTTGACAGCGGTCTAGTTAAGCACTTGTAGTTACTTATAGCGAGTTGCCCACTTATATACCAGACATAGTCTATCTCTATCCTTCGAATTATACGATTATCTTGCAGCGTTGTGTAATGGAAATGAACATCGCTATTTATATTTATATTAGGAGGAATTTAACATAAGTAGATGTCTAACAGAATCGCAATAGCCAAACCCTTATGCTTGTGATTCTTAATTGGTGCCGGTCTATTTATTCGATAATAATAAATATGATGAACTGCAGAGAATAACATGTAGATTGTAACTTTAATGAGATCGTGTAGATTGTTATTGGTGAACATATTCTCGCATGAACGAATAATATTCATTGTTTCCAAGTAATAGTAGCATCATTATTGCGTTGTTATGGTATAAACACACAAATTTATGGTTATAGTCTATAAAGTGTATACCATTCTACGCACGATTTGTATCACGAGCTGCTTTACCCTTTCAAAATACTTTGCGTATGTTTTACAGATAGTTTATATGCCATCGCGATCAATTAATAATCTTCTCTCAACAATTTGGTCATAATCTTATAATTTCTTTTCAAGCCTTGTTTAGTTCTGAGAATACAAACACCCACACCCACCCACTCACACACACATACATATATATACATATATATTTGCAGTATGTTGAGGGGTGAGAGTATACGATGCGCGTGTGAACATTCAACAACTCTGAGAATTTAGTTTCTTCGAGTTAGATAAAATCTTCTCAATAAATATGATTGGCCTTTTAAAGGTTTCCAAGCACGATTGTCTGGCGTTCGTTTATTCCCTCAACGGGCTCTTTTTTTTTTTTTTTTGTTTCAATACAACGACACGACATTGTTTACTGAGTACAAAAGCTATCCATCGAATTCTTTCCAATTTAACATTTCGCCAGTCATCAAATAACGTGATTAGCACATAAATATAAATTCTACGATCCGTTAGAAACTGCTTTCAGACCACACATGACGGCTTTAGAATCTTCACAAATTACTTTTCGACAAACCTTAAATTTTGTTAGCATTGTTTATCGCATACAAAATATTGATAACGATGCTATTCGTGTAGAGTTTTATTCGGAATCAGTTGAGTGTAGCATTAATAAACATTACATTAGTGTATGTATTTTTCCTATTAATGTAACTTTGTTTTATTCTCCCTCGTCCGCTCTCTTTTTGTTAGACTATTATCACTTTATCCAGCACGTCGTCTTCATATGTCATATATCATCTGCAGACTGATATATCTGCAAATACATACTCAGTATCGTCATCAAACATAGTCGTTGTATTGAAGAAAATAGATAAGATAGAATGGCTATCTCTCAAATTTCTATACAACGGTGTAGAAGAAGTGAGGTACTTTCTGACGGTAAAAAAATTTTGAGATAAAAGCCTTTAGTATCTGTAAATATTGCTGAGCTGTATCTAGCGCATATCTAAATATGTTCCATTTCTAGGCAGAGGATAGTACATTCCCTCAGATAACATCAATTCCAATAACAAAAAACCGAGAAGATATTGGTAAACCAAACCAGCATTAATCTTAGCTATAGCACCAGGAAAATCAGAACCATATTATTCATGCTTGGCCAAAACATCAAACGACAAGTCTTTAGTTTTTTACGCATGCATTATCCTGATTGCATTTGTCCATGTTTTCTGCTGTGTGTAGTTGTATTTATAAGCTAATCAGATTGTGCATGTCAATTTGGAACATATATCAGATTATGATTGCAAATACACAATGTCGCATGAAAATTCGTGTCTATATTAAACTGACATATTTCAGATGGAAATTTATGTTTATTCCAAATGTCAAATTGAATGTATTAATTGTATTAATCTAATTTCTATTTGTATACACATTAGTACTATTACATAACTGTATAAGAGGCACATATATATTGATGTCTAGCTCCAATGATAAGCAATGTCATAGATAAAATGAAAAGCATTAGAAATTTCAAAAAAAAAGTGTCCAGCTTCCAATAACATTTGTACTATTATAATTATGTACAATATTTTATGTAATGTATGATAACTGGTAAAAGCCATCACTACTTACACCTTACGCTTTACACACCTTACACCTTACGCTTACACAGATCAAATCTAATTATTGCGGAGGAAGGAAGAGATTACAGAGTTAACCATAAAAGTTTAATTAATGAATGAGAATATTGACAATGAGATCATTTTAGCTTCTCTGGTGCTGTTATCTTTCCTAACAAAGATAATCTGATGGTAACCGAGTTCATATGTAATTATATATATTACCATAACAAGTCATTCAAATGGGAAAGAGAATTCAAAAAGCATTTTTGAATAAAAACTGCTTTGCCTTCTACTAAATCCCAATTTTTAACCTGGTTACAGTATTTGTTGATCAAGAAGATTGTTGCTTTGCTCAACTCTTTTAAATACTCACTAAGCCAGGAGAATGTTGGCCTGAGGAGATAACTTGAATTGTTTATGAATATTATTACTCGCTATTTGTTCTGGGATGTAAATGCTGATGTGCTAGTATATACAGTAAATTCGCTAGTACTAACATGCACAATAAGGTAAGTATGTTTTGTAAACGCATGATTTCTTTATCCAATTTATCTAAGAGTGCTTTCTAATACAATATTCTGTGATACCAGGCAAGTTACTCACAAAAAAAACCTGAAAATGCTTCTTGACAAAGATGCGTCCATGCTCTCTCTCTGGCTAACTCTCGGTCGTCAAATCCTATAAATTACAGTCGGTAACTTTTTAATACTCACAATTTCTTATAATCGATTTTGTATACACAGACTTTCGACTGCTAATTAAACTGTAATGATAACCTCTAATTCTATCGATGGTAAGGTAAACGCGTTGTAAACAGTTAATTAACGGTCATATTTCGCCAATTTTGAAATCGACGGATAAGATTCACGCTACTGATGTGGCATCTGCGGTTAACACGTCATAATCAATAGCAAATAGCAATGGCCAGGAAATAGTACGGCCGATTATCATTCCAGACTGAAATACTGGTTTATTATGATAGAAGTAAGATAATACAAGTAAGTAAGGAATGTTAAGATCCAAAGAGCTAGTATCCTAAGATAGCAGAAGATGATATTAGTTAGCGGAAATTGCACACATTCTATCAGTCCGCTAACTAACAAACTGATTATAGGACTCTACGACTATATTCTGAGTCAAGTTTGGCAATTGGCTCATCCGTTTCACCGCACCGAATGTCGATCGTCAAATCCTCGTACTACAAACGATGTGAAATGAATGGCGAAGAATATTCTTCGGAATACGTCAGCTAATTACCCTGACAAATGCTGTAATCGGTCGATGACAGTTCCTTTTGAACGGAAAAAAGGTGTTGGAACATTGACTTCCGTTATATCGAGTTTCACTTGTATATCTCTTATGTCTCATCTCGTCAGCAATTTTAACCATACTTTGAATCCGTACATTTTAAACATGACATGTAAAAAGTCTCAGGGATGAATAATAAATTAACTCATATAATGAGGTTCTTTCAGAGCTCCGAAAATTCAATCTGTGGGATTAATTATGAACTTACGATATTAGTAACAAATGTATAGGACAAATTTGTTCTTTTTCCGGAGAATGTAAAACAAGCTTAACTTGGCAAAAGCTGCGTTTAAAAAATTGTCTTGTTCGCATTATTGAAACATATCAGCAAATAATGTCGTTAAACTGACTTTGTTGAACCATCACGGCTTGAACAATACTGTTACAGAATCTGTAATTATTCATCGCTAGGTTTTCCATAAACAAAACTAGTTTTGTTGATCGGCAATTAATCTGTGCAATATGCAGTCTCATTTATTCTGAATTATTTGATATGCTATAAGAATTAGGAATGAACTTTTTAGTATGTCATTTTATTAATTAAACGGTGCGCTAGTACAATTAGAGAAAAGCGTGTGATGATCGCCTTCCGGTTCATGTGAATTAATGATTTGTGATACAATTTTACCACGTGCTCGAGTTTACATTTCATGGTTTTTTTACTAGTTTTTGCGGTCGGTAAATTTCAAAAACGCTAGGGAAAATGTGTCTCTTACACGATGTCGGGGCATGTGTGTTGTACAATTCTTGAGAAAAATGAACACAACGATGTTATCTATCATGTTGTGTGTGTTAATATAAATGTCGTTGATAATAATTGATGCGCCCATGAAATAGTTGGGTTTACGCTACATCATCTTCTTGTTTGTGAAGTCGCCAACGATTGAATTCAGGAATCATTACTAGCTTTTATACAAACAATATGTTTGACTTACCAGTAGTTGAGAATATATTTGCGATGCTTGGAACTTTGTTTTGCTCCTTTCAACTAGTTCCACAAGGTAATAGAATTTTTCAAAGACTCCAAAAATCTTTGCTATACGTTAACAACATATTGATACTTGTAAATAGCACATAAAAACTGGCAGTGTAAGAGCACAGAAGGTATTTAACTTTTAATCAACTGGTATGGCTGGCATGCAACTTTCTAAGTTACTAATTGTTATTTTTGGTAGGACTATCATCAAATATGCTGCTTTTATGGGTTGGTATTAGTATAATTGCCATTATACTAAGCAAGAAGTCCGCACGCTAACATTATTTGACAAATATAGGCCTTTTCCTCAACACTTTTTGGAATATATACGATAATTGAGTCGTTATCAATACCTTTGATACTTCAACCACAATTATTCTGTATAATTGCCCTATTTTGTAATGTTCAGTGTTTATACTATGATCAGCACGTCTACCCATTTGACAATGGAAGCATGGAAAGAAAGTTTAAGTACGGAGTAGTGTTTGTGGTACGACTGTTAGTGCTAGGCGCGATACAAGCAGCTGGAGTTATAGGAGTTAAGGTGAGCATGCTGGCAAATATTAAATTAAATGGCAAACAGAATGCGCTTAGTTTAAAGTTCTATCATGTTGTAAATCATAGAGTTACTACTTGATATATATTTTGTATTTGTTCACATATTACAATTTATGTTTAAAGATTGCCGAAGAGAAGGAAATAACGTGGCCTAAAACAACGTTGGGGATAATTCCAACTGCTATATTGTTGTGCGGATTTATTCCTCAGTTCTATGAAATATATCGTAAGTAGCAATATATTGTGGTTTATTTTATATTTACCAAGTTATTAAACGACGGGTGTCGTTTTTATTTAGATGCGAAAATGGTTCAAGGAATTTCTCTAATATTCATGGCACTTGACATATCTGGTGCAGCTTTCTCGATCTTGAGCTTGCGTGAGTATAACAATGGCATCCATTGTATGTGAGTTCCCAAACCAATCAATATGAACTTGTTTATCATCATTCAAGTTCTAAATCCGTGCATGGTGATCGGGATCTCACATACAATTACTCGATTAATATCTGCTTTCAATCAATATTAACTCGTGATTGTTTGTGTAATTGTACTACTATCTACACAACTATTTATTATACTAGTATTTCGCCAACCTCCGTTTGATACGTTGGCTGCAGCTGGCTATATTTGTATACTTATAGCCGATACGACCATTGTGATGTTAAGTTTCCTATTGCGACCAAAAAAGGAATCGAAGCGGCTCTTAATGTAATAGTTTATCTGCTTTCACATATTTTACTTTGTATTAATTGAAAACTAGAATAATCTTGGAGGCTGTGCCTCTCGTGACTATATTACTTAAGTTTCGTGTGTAATACAGTACATCAAAGAATTCAGTTGGAGATTTATTATTGCTTTTTGATAAATAGATAATAAAAAAATTGTTGACAAAATAAATATTCGAAGAGGTGAAATATTGCACTTTTCAGATTCATTCTGTATTTGAGCAATTCTAAATTTGTGATGGTTATATCAATTTCTAATAATCACGACTGCCTTTTGCATGGGGTTGGTCTGTCTAGTTGACTGGACTTTTTTTGAAGACTCAAGACTAAGACTAAGGCTCTGACAGGAGCTGATAAAGGGTTTTGCTGTCCATTGTGGTAACGTACGATAGATGACGTGTACAGGTGTAGTTGGCAGTTTAGAAAGTATTTCGATATCTGACAAACTGTTAACTCCTATATCGTTTAGGAGTAGCTCTTGCCCCGCGATTACTCTTCTTGATATTACGATAACTGTTCGTATTTGTTACAATTAGAAAACCTATACAATGAACTACCTGTCTATGGTCACACATCTTGCTTTAGAACTGAACCCAATCCAGACACCATTTGTGGTGACTATGTAATGGCACGTGATTATTACAAGTTAGCATAATTTAAAGTACGGTGTACCCCAGGTACAAAAGTTACACCTCAGACCTCAGACCTCAGATCTCAGACCTCCGACCACTATATATGTATATTTCTGTCCATCCTTTTTAGATCACACTTATAAGGTAGACGGGTAATTTGGCGCTACTAAGTGAAATTTTATTAACCGTTTATAAC